CTGCATCGTGATGGAGAGGCCCCAGGCGCAAAGCCTCAACATATATACGAAATTGTGACCCACTCCCACTGTAGGTATATCATACAGTCGATCAAACGCAGAAACAACAAATCCTATGCATGCTGGCGTCTGTGAAAGCCTCCGTCTGAATATCGCACTGCGACAGCAAACGGAACTGCAAGCCCAGTGCTCTTCCAGTCACATGTGCTGCCAACTCACCGCCGCCCATGCCAGAGAAGCGTGTCGTCAAAGACAGCCATGGGCGGGCATGCAAGAGACAGACGCCAGGCGCCTCACCACAAGAGATTGGCATACCAGGTTCTATCTTATATAATCTCTTTCTGCCGCTGCATCCAGACGGTCTAGCAAGCAAGTGTATAAATGCTACATATATCTATATATATATACAAATGTATAGATCAATCCGGGTCGCTCTCTTCGCCGCCCTCACGGCCTCTTCAGCGCACACCTTGATGTAGCGCTGGTTCGCCGCAACCAATGGATTCTGCTCCATGATGCACCCTGACCCTTCAAGGCACCGTGAAGCGTCCACTGGATACTCATACAGGGGTTTACAAAGTGTGGCACTCATTCCAAGCAGGTATAAGACATGAGTCCCGTGCATGCGCATGCAGTTGTTCTGGAGCGCGAGTCGAGAGCACCGAAGCTAGAGAGCCATAAAATTCGGAAGTCAGCATGCCTGCCTTTTGTTCTGGATACTCATACAAGGGGTTTACAGAGTGCCGTTCATGCCGCCGCAGCAAGAGCAAGACAGTCTCAGTCTCTCCCCCTCTCCGGACTCTCTCCCTCTCTCCTGCTCTCCATCTCTTTCTTTCTCTCTCTCTCTCTCGCCTCGCTCTCCTTCTCTCGAAACTGGTATGCCTGCCTTTTGTTCCTGAACGATCCCTGGCCCCAACCCTGGCCCCAACCCCGGCCCCAACCACGTCAGATCGTGCTTATGCGGCGTGGTCTGGACTCACGTGTGCCTGAAGCTTGTGTTTGGTATTTTCCGCTGCCCCGATACCCCCTTTTTTCTAGGCGTGCCAGCCATCTGTGCCTGGGACCAAAAAACCATAAATCACAAGTGCCAGGAAGTTGCTAGGCGATTTGCTAAAACCAAAAACTTGTGATGTCCTATAAGTCCAAGGTGCAATATGCCCTTAGTTGTTTGCGAAATGGGCTCCTTTGAACACCCAGAGAAGCAACCACAACCCAAAAGAGGGCCGTGAAGGTAATGGAAACCCTGCTGCCCAACACCCTGTTTGTCAAACTCTCACGACTGTGCTGAGTTTGGGACTAGGGGTTAATATCGGATCAGAATCGTCTCGTGGCTGCAATACTACGGAGCCTTAAGGATTAGGGCTTCTAAAATCAGGGTAAATGGCTCAGGGAACAGGCTCAAACTTGTGTTGGACTCATCTTGCAACTAAGGCTTTCTACACCTGTGGGATAAACCCTAAACCCTAAACCCTAAACCCCAAACCCTAAACCCCAAACCCTAAAACCCAAACCCTAAACCCCAAACCCTAAAACCCAAACCCTAAACCCTAAAACCCAAAGCCTAAACCATCAACCCTAAACCCAGGGCTTCGGTCCTGCGCGGCTTCAGGGCTTCGGCTTTCAAGGGTGTCGGGTCTTGGAGAAGAGAGGTTTAGGATTTCGAAGCTCCGGGTTTCGGGTGTAAAGGTTTTTGAAGTTTAGGAACCTAAACAGTGAAAACAGCTCAAACCCCTAAATCCTAAATCCTTAAGTCCTAGCATCCTAAAACCCTAAATCCTAAAATCCTAAAGTGTGGGGTTGTGGGTTTAGGGCGGCTTGAGGTGAGCGGCCATGGAAAGCACCCTCAGCTGTGAGGCTCGTATCCGGCAGGAGATGCACCGAGGAGCAGTGGCGGTTCGAAGAGAAAGAATAGGGGCTTCCGGGCTTAGGATTTTAGGGCTTGATCATTAGGGGTTTAGGGTCTAGAGTCTAGAGTTTAAGGGTTAAGGGCTTCCGGGCTTAGGATTTTAGGGCTTGATCATTAGGGGCTTAGGGTCTAGAGTCTAGAGTTTAAGGGTTAAGGGTTTAGGGTTTAGGATTTTAGGGCTTGATCATTAGGGGTTTAGGGTCTAGAGTCTAGAGTTTAAGGGTTAAGGGCTTCCGGGCTTAGGATTTTAGGGCTTAGCTATTAATAGGGGTTTAGGGTTTAAGCGTTTGGGATTCATTAGGATTTTAGGGCTTAATTAATTAGGGGTTTAGGGTTCAAGGGTTTGGGATTGATTGTTTCAGGGCCTGAGGTTCAAGGTTTAGAGATTCGGGGCTTGGGGTTGAAGGCTTTCGGGGTTTAGGGGCTTGGGAGTTATGGTTTGGGGGGGGTTTAGGGTTTAGGGTTTAGGCTTCATGGGCTTGTGGCTTGGGGTTCGGGGGCTTGGTGCTTAGGGGTTTGGGATTTACGGGTTTGGCGTGTTCAGCTTTAAGGTTAACAGCCACATTTTGCATGTTCAACGAGGCTGCATGTTTAAGCGTTAAACCCTCAACCCATGTCACTTCGTCAAGCTTTGAACTTCACCCTAAGGGTCCATGTACCAAAGAGTACATACTTTGGCCCCAAAGTACCTATATAGGGACTACTTTGAAGCCAAAGTATATACTATTTGGGCACATGGACCCTTAGGGCTCACGTCCTGGAGGCTTTTAATAAAGAGACCGACTGTAGAAATCGACTTGGAACAGGCGGTCCCGAAGGCTCCATGCACTTTATGGGTGGTTGTCAATATCAGGGTCCCTTTTCGGATCCTTATGAGAAAACGGCACCAAATATTTAGAGTACCCAAAAAGGGCCCATAATTTTGACAGCCACCCATACGGTACGCAAAGGCTTGGCTTTGGCCCCAAAGTACTTCAATAGGGGCTACATTAAGGCTTAAGGCTTAAGGCCAAAGTATATACTGTATGAGTACATGGACCCTTGGGGTTCGCAAAACTATCATCTTTCCTTGCCCACAGCGACTCTTAATATCTCTCAAGTGTGAATTGTGCGGCTAACCTTTCTTATGGTTGGAATGGTTGGGATTTCATCGCAAGAAGGTCGCCGCAAAAGTATTTCCATTGAGGGCACACATAGACCCCTTGGGCTGTTCGTGGTTTGGGTTGAGGGTCCCGCACACCCAAACCTCTTGTAACCCCAAATGGGAGTTCCCGAAAATAGGGGACCCCAATATAGTACCCCAAATAGTAGGATTCTTATCGCAAGAACCCCCAGAATAGGGTACCCCCAAGTTTCCCAAACTCCCAAATAAGCCTAGGCCTCACAAGAACCGAACCCAGCTGTTAACGCCACAGCTCATCCCTAACCCCTAAACCCTAAACCCTAAACCCTGAACCCTAAACCCTAAACCCTAAATCCTAAACTAAACGCGCAACTTTAAAGCTCCAGGGCCCCAAAAGCATGAACGCCACAGCTCGGAGGTGAGAGAGAGATGCAGATCTTCGGACCTTCCTGCATTCGCCATTCGAAGCAAAACCTTCGAGGAAGCGATACTGACGAGGGGATTTCGGCTTGCAGGTCTGTAAGGTATAAGGCTTTGTGTTTCGAGGTGGTGGGGAGGTCCTTGGAGGGTCGGGGGACTTAGTAGCTAGTTACTTTTACGACTTACTGTAAATATCAGAACCCAATTAGGGTCCCTTTTAGGATACTTACAAGTCTACTTACTAGCTACTTACGAAGTCCCCCGACCTTTCAAGTAGTAAACCTTAAAAACCCTAAAGCCCTAAACCCTATAGATCCCTTACAGATCCCTTTAAGGAGTTGTAAGGGTTTGGGGGTTTGGGGGCTTAAGGGTTTCGGGCCGCCAGGACTTTGCGATCTGGAGTCGCTGCTTATGCCTTATATAGTTTGGGGCTTCCTAAACTTAGGGTTTAGGGCTTTAGGGTTTAGGGGTTGCTAGAACCCCCCGAACTACCCTAAACTCCACCCTAAGTGCCCACTGTGAGGGCCAAGGGCGATAGCTTCGAGCGTGAGAGCGTCTTGGTTCTGCGAGGGTGCAGGGTCATTAACATTCAGGAGTCGCACTGCGGGTACCGGTAGTTCTCTAAATTCAGGTCGCGCTAAATTCTGGGATCCTTTTAATGAGAGTGCGGTACAATTTATTGGACCTCAGAATGGGTACCATTGGAGTCAAATTTAGAGAGCTACCCGTATGTGGATGTTGTGTTGGCATAAACAAAGCGGAAGCTGTTCTATAGATGTAGTAGGCATTGAGTCGCCTTGGTGTGCACATGAGCCTGATCAACATCATCGAAAGTCCTGCAATGTCAGCCAATGTCAGCATTGCGGCAGCGGGTATGAACACGGCCTCCACATGCATCACGTCTCATGTCATCACAGTTGATGGTACACCTGCTCTATCCACAAGGTGACGATTGAAAAAGGAGCAAATGGGTACTACTGGGGAATCTATAGAAAACGCTAAACCCTCAGTAAGGGGGCCGCAGGCAAGAGCAGTGCCAGTTCAGGCTCATTTTACAATAGCATTTTGCCGACTCTGATAGTTTTAAGAGTGGCTCCGAGTGTGAAGGGCTCGGGTTTACTTGGAGGGTCTTTAGGGGACTTAGTAACTGGTTATTTTAGGGACTTATAAGTACCATACCCCCAATTAGGGTCGTCCCCCGACCCTCCAAGTAGGGTTGAGGGTTTAAGGGTTCAGGGTTTAAAGAGTGGCTCCGAGTCTGGAGGGCTAGGGTTCAGGGTTGAGAGTTCAGGGTTGAGGGTTTAGGGTTTAGAGGTTTAGGGTTTAGGGTTTAGGGTTGCGGGTTTAGAGAAGTTCGGGGTTGAGGGTTTAGAGTTTAGAGGCTTTATCACGGAGTTTAGTGTTTAGGGTCGAAAATTGGCGGGCTTTGGGCTCCGGGCTTAGGATTCAAGGCCAAACCGTAACACCATGGAGTCCCGGAATCCTAAACCCTAAACCCTAAACCTTTCTGAAGGAAGGCCTGGAAGGTGAATCACGCAGTGTGTGGCAGAATCAGCGCCAGTACTGATCTTGCTTCCTCAGGTACTTGGAGGTTCATGGGTCGTCATAAGTAGAGCTATAAGTAGGGTAACTATAGCTATAACCCATACTACCCTAAGGGTCCATGTACCCAAATAGTACATACTTTGGCCCACAAGTACACTTTTTAGGGACTACTTTAAGGCCAAAGTATATACTGTTTGAAAATTTGCGTACATGGACCCTTAGGGTTAGGGGACTTATAGCTCCACCTACAACTGTCCCTGAACCTCCAAGCAAGGCTCGGGGGGCTGACCTTCTGGGGGTTGTGGCTCCTTGGAGGGTCGGGGGACCTAGTAAGTGGTTATTCTAGGGACTTATAAGTACCAAAAACCCAATTAGGGTCCCTTTTAGGGTACTTAAAAGTCTACTTACTACCTACTTACTAAGTCCCCCGACCCTCCAAGTGGATAATGAAGTTAAGGGGTTGGGACTTCATTAACTGGATTCAGTGCCTTTGAGTTGAACAATGGTTCTCTTTATTTCGGAGGTTTCAGGGCGTAGGGCTTCTTGAGATTTGTAATGCAAGCTTTAAAAGAGAAAAGATCAGGATTCAGGGTTACACCCCAAAGAGACCGAAGCAGGCAGCGAAACGGAAAGGAGTATCAAAAGACAAGGCACCTCCTGCGTTCGTCTTTGGCCTCTAAGCCCTTAAAGCCCCGACCCATGTGCCGCCAAAGCTTCTGGATAGCTCACGCTTAGAGAAAACCCGAAACCCGAAACCCTTGCCAGTCGCGTGGCTTGCCCAAAGCTGACTGCGGCAGAGCGTCGTGATGTGGAGGATCTCATCCATGCTCTGCTTGACCTTAAGGTGCCCTAAGCCCTAAATCCGAAACCTTAGACCCTAAACCCTAAATCCTATGTCCTAAACCCTAACACCTAGACCCTACACCCTATCATAAACTCTGAACTCTAAACCCTAAACTCTAAACCCTGAAGCCTAAACTCGAAACCCAATATCCTATACCGTAAAATTTGGGGCTTAAAGGTCGCTTCAGGCTGCGAAGTGGGACCTGCCTAGACTCCCCCAACTACCCTCTAATATACTCCAAATACCCACTATTAAGGACCATGAGGGCTCTATGAAAGGGCCATTGGGGGTCCTTGGTAGTAGCAAGGTTGTAAGTCGTTTGGGGTTTTAAGTATTTCTAAAAGTTTGTTTGCCATCTATTTATTTCTGAGAAATGCTTACCACTCATTTCGCAGCCCTACGTACTAAGTCCCACGATCCTTCAAGTAGGGCACCCATAGCCCTTTAGGTCACACTTTCATGCACCGAGCTCTGGAAATGAGCAGAGCAAGCGGCCTCCGGGTAATCCTTCCAGTACCTTGGATGCAGGCTTAGAGTATGGCTATACCCCCCATTAGAACCATAATACAAATAATGTGTTTAATATTTTCTTGGGTTTTATACGAACAAAAATACAAAATAATGCCTAAGGAGACTATAGATGGGTTCAGGATGGTTGAGGGTTTAGGGCCTGGGATTTAGGAGTATGGGTTTAGGGCTTAGGAGGAGTATGGGTTTAGGGCTTAGGAAAGTTTAGGGGTTTAGGGTTTCGGGAGTATCGGGCACTGGGCTCTTGGGTCTAGGCCTTTGGAGTTTAGGGGATTTGACGGTCGAAGGGTTCCAGAGGGTTGAGGCAAGTAAAGTCAGCGAGCTGAGGGTTCAGGTTTAAGTTTAGGGAAAAAGGGCGACAGTTTGCAAGATCAAGGGGCTTCCAGTTTAAAAGCACTTCCTTATCTCGAATCCGTTGGTCCTGCACGGCCCTAAAATCTCAAGTGTAGCTCCTTTGACTGCTTGACGTAAGTTATGTCAAGGATCGCGTACTAATCAGCAAGGTGACCAACAAAACTACATGCACCCGCTTGAATAAGCCTCTGCTTGGAGGTTAATGGGTAGTTATAAGTAGGGATATAACTAGGGTTACTATACTTATAACTCATATCAGGGGACTTAAAAACCCTACTTTTAACTGCCCATGAACTTCCAAGTAGACCCTATATAGATCCCTCAGCCATAAACGGTACGGGGAGGATTTCGAAATTGTGGCTCGCTGACCCATGACCCCAGACACGTTAACCTCTCTAACGGCCCTGGACGCAACATCGCACCCGTAAATCTCAGCCATAAACGAAGCCTTCAAACCGTTTGTGTCTCCTGCGTCAGAAGCTAAAGACAGATAAACCTTCGACTACTAGCGCCAGCACATCCTCAGCCCTCAAAAGTCAAAGGACGATTGAATTGGGCACGATTAGGTTCTCTTCGGAAACTGCTATCAACCTGAATCGTAAACTCTGCCTGGACTTTAAAGAATCAGAACCTACCATTGTAGGGTTCCTTATCACGATTTCTTGTACAAGTCCTTAGAAAGGAAGGTTATTCCGGGTCCAGGTGCACTCAACATGGAGCCCTAAACCATTTTGCCACCTTTTCCTATGGTTCGTCATTGAGTCGCTCAGCGACAAGACATCGGGCTAGATGCAAAACCTATAGATGGAATGGCAAACAGCTGTAGCGGCTTACTGTGTAGGAGTGGCGTATTTGAGAGTTTATCAGGCTTAGTGCAGCGAGCCGCAGCTGAACACGTCTGTAGTGTGTTGCCATCCTTTCGCAGCCTACTTGGAGGTTCATGGGCAGTTACAAGTAGAGTTATAAGCAGGGTAAGTATACTTATAACCCATATTAGGGTTATAAGTCCGATGCCTGGGTTCCGGAGTAGCCCCTCTTCGGGCTCAAAAAGGGGACCCCAAAGCAGAAAGTGCAAAAGGGTACTACTTAGGAACCTAGATGCCATGTCTGAAGATGGCAACGGAACGACCGTCCACTACCATACTCCGACAACGTAATCTCGGGCGGTAGTCTAGGATCAAAACGTAACTACAACCCGGTAAGCAAGCCAAAGCGCTTGATCTGCGTCGCCGTCATGTGGCTTCTGCCGATTTGCACCTTGAAATCAAGCTATGATCAGGTTGCTTCAAACTTCAGAATGCTGGACTCTCAACCCTAAAGCACTAAACCTCGCAAAGAGGGCAGGGCTCAAATGTTGGAAGCATAGTGCGGGGGTCGTTTCGGCGCGGACAAGCATAGCCTGAGCTTGTCACGATCACTCTCTGCAGAGGTGTTAGTGCAATGGGTCATGGGCCGTATGGATGTCGCTAAGGTGTACCTGGATATTCTCACCAGTTCTTGTTAAACGTCTTCGAGAACGAACTGACAGAATCAAAAAGCAAGTGCCAGGTTTACTGTGGAGGTTCCTTCAACTTGAAAAGTTCTATCAAGACCTAAGGGTTCAAAGACTCAATAGTGAGTTTTGGATACCGAAAGCCCATTCAGAGCATAGAATTTTCGGCCGTACAGCCCTACGATTTGGGTCTTTGGACCCTCAGACAACGCTGCCAAGGGGTTGCCCCCAGGATTTTAGTATAGGAGCCTCTTCGCCATCATGATACACCCTAAGACCCATGAACCCATAAACCCTAAACCCTAAACCCTAAACTAAGCCCTAAACCCTAAACCCTAAACTAAACTCTAAGACCCATAAACCCTAAACCCTAAACTAAACCCTAAAACCTAAACTAAACCCTAAGACCCATAAACCGTAAACCCTAAACAAAACCTTAGTCCCTAGACTTCAGAAGGCCTGAACCCAAACCCTCGCGAGCTCCCGACGGTCTGCCAATCGAGAGCTTCGATAAGACCAAGCTCGAGCATCAAAGGCCTTGATAGTAGGAACAAATCCTGAACCCTAATTCTAATAGTTCGTGTTTTTGTAGCAACAAACCCTGAACCTTAAACCTAAGAGTTCGCTGTTTTGCATATGGAGATAAATACACGACCCTAAAGCCTAAACTCTAGGTTTCGGGCTTTGGGATAAGGGTTGGAGCATCAACCTCATTCTCTCCTCTGAGTCGACTTCATTAGAAGGGCCTAGGGTTTATGGAGCTTAGTGATTCAAGGCTAAGGCTGGGGTTCGTCTAGGGTTTTGGGGCTTAGGAATGATGGTTTTGGTGATGGGGCTTAAGGATTTTAAGGTTTAGTCTAGGGTTTAGGGATCAGGGTTTGCGTTTAGGGGATAAGGTTTAGGGTTCATGCAGTTTAGGGATTTAAGGTTTAGTCGGTGGTTCGGGGATTGAGGATTGGGGTTTAGGGGATAAGTTTTAGGGCCTAGGGCTTATTATGATGGCCAGGCAATGTCATCAGCAGGAACAGCAACTACAGCCGCAGGGAGGGCGGCACAGTCGCGGCTTTTGCTGCGGCTTCTTCTACAGCATAGAAAATTCAAACCACCCTGGCCTGTCGACCGCCACTAACACCAACATACTAGATCATCAAGTATTCAATGTCATAAAAATACTGGCACGAGTATGACAACACTGGCACCACTTGATTGTCGCACCAAGAGGGGCGCGAACAGAATCGGCATCGTCATCATCCTCATCAACAACAGCAGCACCATGTTGCTACTGTTACTAACACCTCACTCAACAGAAACATCGTCAATGGGAACAGCCGCGACGACCACGGTGACGACGACGACGACTTCGTCTGTGTTGCCTTTAAACCACCACAACCCTAAACCCTAAACCCTAAACCCTAAACCCTAAATCCTAAACCCTAAACCCCATGTCTTGGCGTCATGAGCATCATCGCCGACTGCCCCAAGCCTACAAGGCTCAAGCCAAATCAACAGCGAGCCCTGGACCCTACATGGCAAACCCTAAAACCCTGAAGCCCTAAAGCCTTTGAACTAAACCCTGAACACCCAACAAAACTTAAACAACACCAAAAAAACTTAAGCAACACAAACCACAACCAAACCCGAAGCCCTCTTGGCATCCTCGCCCCTCCACTTTCACCAAGATCTCTTCGATCGCTAAGATGTATCGCCTGGGGACGGAAGCAGAAGTACTTGCACATTCATTTGTTCCTGAGTTGGGGTTAGAGTTTAGGGAAGTCTAAGTCTAGGGTTTGGGGTTCATGGTAGGTATGAAACATATCGTAGGCTTTCGATAGGGTGCTGCACCGCTTTATAGGTGGATTCGAGGCTCATGGCGTTTCCGCCCCCAGCCCTGAATCCTAAACTCTAAACCCCAAGCCGTGGCCACAGGTACCGATCACGATCGCTATGTTTTGCGCAACGCGACATTTCAATATCCACAGGCCTCCCACTCATAACCCTAAACCCTAAACCCCAAGTCGTGCAAGGAGATTAGTATAATGCACGGGCGTTAATTATTAGAATAGACTATCAGGGCCTTAATAAATAGAATAGGGGTTTGGGGGTATCTTATACTTTAATTACAATAAGGAGCCCCAGAATAGTATGGGTAACTCTGTAGGCCCCTACATTAAAGGCTTTCCTTCGGCTGATGCACGGAGCAACCACCCATGATCGACACTAGCAAAAATGCCAAAAGCAAAAATGAAGGACAAAGGGAGGCTGTCTTGATTCGAGCTGCCCTCCCCCAAGAATGTTGAAACTTGAACTTATCCCCTCGTCTAACAGCAGTAATAATAGCACTCACAACAACAACAACAAGGTGCAATCACATACTGGGTCACCATGCCAGTATTGGTTGTGGTTCCACCACCACCACCACCACCACCACCACCACCACCACCACCAACAACAACAACAACAACAACAACAGCAATAGTACGTAGCACCATTACCAGGGGTCGGCAAAGCAGCAATCCGCTTCGGCCCTGAACCAAAGCCCGGTTCGAAGCGATACATCTGCAAGCACCAAGAGGGCTTAGGGTTTAGGGTTTAGGGGTTTAGGGTTTAGGGTTTTAAGATTTAGGTACTAGGCATGAGGGTTTAGAGGAGTTGAATTTTCCAAGACTATAAAGACAAGTCCTGTTGCAAAAACCTCGGGGCAAAGTAGCTCCGTATCATGCATCTTGCTCTTCATGGCCCCTTTTAGGTCACATATGTGCTCTGGCATCAAAAGCTTCGGAGATAACCTGCCAGTCCCTAGCTATCGCCGTGACTCCAGAGCAGAGCTGCGCTTCGAATTGAAGGAATCCCACACTATGAATCGGAGAGGTAGCATCCAGGGCATGGGAAACGATGAAGCCCAGATTCAAATCTTGGATGCGTAGGTTGATCCTAGGAAGGGTGGAAGCAGCACATACACCTCAGCAGGAAGCACTTGCGCGGAACGCAAGATCACCTCACTCCCAGTGTTGATGCTGATCATCTCATGTGCGCCTTCCTTCGAAACAAGAGCAGAAGGATCTACAGTACGGCTGATGATGTAAATCCTGCGTTACCCATACTATATTGTAGGAGTATACCATAATTCCTCATAGTTCAGGGTCCTTAAGGTACTGCAGGATGTATATCATCAACCGCAGGAGCCATCCTCTCTGTTTCGATGAACCTCACGCCGTGATTGGACTGATCGGCTTGGCATCTGGAGGACACAGTATCCCTGATAGTAACGAAACTCATGGGGCCATATACCCTAAATTAACCTTCCAGCTTTGACAAACTTGACCCAAACACAACCTCAGAACTAAACCCCACACCCCAAACCCACCCTGAACCCGAAACAGACCCTAACAGCTCTCCCCTTGACTGAAGGACTGAAGAATCTCAACTTCTACAACACTGACGTATGGTAAGACAGCGGGCTTGCGATTCAGAATAGAGCTGGAGTCACTATGTTGTACTCTATACAGGAGGCTTACGGAGTATCAGTGCTACTTACTTATGCCACGTTGATAACCCTGCCCGAGTTTCTGAGTCTCGGGCTTCATGCGGCAAGTCGTGCTACGCGGTTCGCTATCATGGTTTAGGGCGGTTTGAGAGTCCAGGGGCTCTTCTTGTTCCCAGCTGCCTGAGCACGGACTAGTATTCTTGCTGTTACGAACACGACTGCATGGTCTCATGGATAGCAGGACTGAGCACGTCCATTCTTGTAACAAATAAGAATGTGCTTTCCCGGCACCGACATCGCCGAGGACGACTGTTGCTGATGCTGTCGGCGCCGCCTCTGCTACTGCTGCGGGCTATCAGAGGCATTAACATCGGAGTACCATCATCAGCATCTTCACTTCGTGCTTTCCACCATCACTACCAACATCGGAAGCTTGAATCATTGACTGAGTTGTCATTTAAACACTTTGAAAATCAGTTGCTATTATGGTTCTCTACAGAATTGTGAGGAATTTATAAAAGATCCCAAAGGACAACCCAGTTGAATGCCTCCAGTTAACGGCAGCAGGAGGTTCCACTGGGGCCCGGGCATCATGTCCTCAGATGCTAGCGCATTGAAAATTCTTCGCTTCCAGCCATCTCTGCCACAATCCCAGACAGCAATCCTGCAAGCCTATACTTCCGGAGTCAACAACACTGAAGCCCGACCTTTAGTGCCAACATGCAAAGCATGGGGAATTACAAGATTCCCTGGGACCCTCTCTGCAAGCAAGGGTCTGGATAGCATTTGCGCGCGAGCTCCGCGAATTGCTTCTGGTAGGTCGGCTGCTTGTAGATGTTTTTGCACCTGGGACATGATTGAAAACTCTCACTGGGTTGAGCTTTAAAACCTTTGAAAATTATTTATGAATAGGTTCCCTTTATAAGGAAATAAGTAAGGGAAACTAAAATTTACCCCAAAGCACAACCCAGCTCAGAACAGTATGTTGAATCGAGGTCACAACGGTCACGTTTCCGCTTGGCGGCGAGGGAGATGGCTGTTGCCCTCTGCATAGAATCGGCGTATGTGTGCAAGTTGATAGCAGATCCAGATGGCTGTCTGAGTATATGGTTGGTCTTTCATGTCCTTTGCAGAACTCCTAACTGCGCAGAGTGGCACCTGTGGTAGCACTGCTCTAAGATCCAAGTGATCCTCACTAGTTTGGTGGACGGAGTACCATAGCATGACATTGCTCTGTTCCTGCCTGTGTCGTGCTCCAGCGAAATCCAAACTATTTTGGGATAAACTCTGCCATGGGTTGGTTTTAGCTATGGTAGGAAAACGATTAGTTGTATGTACAGGCAGCGGCTACAGATCGCAACAGAACGCAAACAAAAATCACTAGAAAACACGGCACGTTAGCGCTTCGCCACAAGCATGTTGAGCAGCGTTTCTGCACTATCTTCTGTACAAACTTGGGTGGTATGATAATGACTTAATTACGACATTGAATTGTGAGCTCGAGTCACACCGCTGCCATATACTCGCTTGCACTCAATCGCAGTATGTTCCGGCATGTTGCACTGTTTGGCTTCTAGCGGCGCAGTGGAGACCTTCCGACATATTGCTACAGGCTTTTGGCTTTGAGCTTCGGCAAGTTGCCGCAAGCTGGATGCTACAGGAGCTTGTCAGACCGCCTGCTAGCACCCATATTGTATCTTTTCCCAAGGCTCCATGTACCCATATAGTATATACTTGGGGCTTCAAGGGGTTCCTATATGGGTACTTTAGGGTATAAGTATATACCATCTGGCTACACGGAGCCTTTGGGTTTTCGTACTGCTCAAGGCCCGAAGGCGCCAACTGCTTGAATGGCACCGCACACAAAACCGAACAACCTGCTGTGTCGTTGGACTGCGGGCCCTTCGACATCCGTAATATAGAGCTTTTAACAATTAGAATAGGGTTTTGGGGGCATATTATGCTATAGTTAAGGAACCCCAGAAATAGTATAGGTAATTGCTAAGGCCCCTATATTATTCATGACACTTTGACCTACCCGAACTTCGACCCCTAGCACAAATTATGACTTTGGCTGTTTCTTGGGTTTTAGGAACCAAGAATTAAAACCCTATCTCGAAGTAGCCATGAAGATTGAGCATGGGGTTACCCTGCACCTATTCTCCGTGGAGGCGGTTTCCTGAAGAGAAACTTAAACCCAAACCCCTAAACCCTAAGCTTCCGTTGAGAAGACGGTGGTGCGGGCCTCTCTTGAAGATCCAGCAACTCAGAGGGAGAGACCTTGGTGCACTAAATGCAGCACATTGCAGCACCATAAAACCCTGAATCCTGGAAGACTTAACCCCCTAAACCATGTAAGCCGCTCAAACCTTGATCCCCGGAACCAAACCCTAAACCCTACTGTGCTGGGCGGATTCCGCAATAAATAAGTTACTATGTTTTTAAAACGGCATAGCAAGCACTCCGCTGGCAGGCATAGGGAATTAACTGTGCAGCATTCCACTACTCCGCAAGAGTCTGTAACGTGTAGCGGTTCCCTAACCGGCCCTGTAGCTCAACATTTTCGGTATTTACGGGGGTATATATCTCTGAATACCTAAACCCGTATTACATAACCCTTGCAAGGACCCGCGGGAACCTCGAAAGGAGCCTTAGGATCCGGAGCTGGTTGTTCTAATGTCAGGGTCTTGTTAGAACTTTCAATGTAAACAAGAAACATATGCAAGTGATAACAGTAATTCGGATAGGGTCCTTTTTAGGGTCTTCTAAACGGTGTCACAGAGTTTTATACGGGTCTGATACAGGGGCGATCGTAGCTAGAATAACGTTTTGGGGTATTACCGCGGTATACGTATTGGCACAGGTTCTGGTCGATACTGCGGTTTTGGGGGGCTCAACTTCTTGCAACTGGAAAGTTTTGGATGGTTTTTATAGGGCTTTGTTTTTTCCTTTTTTTAAAGAAAAAGTAAGGTTTTGTTTAAGTACTTGGGGATTCGGGTTTTGAGGTTTAAGTTTGAATAGGATGCCCAGTAACCTAGGAATAAAACGGGCTCCCTTTTTGGTATTGGGTAACTTGATAAGAAACCAAAGACTACAAAAAGGGATAAAGGCTAGTACTGTGCATCCTCGTTGGGCTTCAGCCATACATGGTTACACCCTTAAACCTGAATCGATCGACATGCGATTCAGACCCCGAGGTGGCTGTCGCATGAAGGTTCAAACCCAATTAGGAGCATGCAGCATACAGAACAAGGAAACATTTCTTAATGCCGGTGAGCTTTGACGGATCTTTGACGATCATTAGCTGATCCAAGCTTCCTGACCGTGGTATCAACTGCTTACACGTGGGCTAGAAAAGGACCTAGCCCAAAAGGAATCTGATATTCGGCAGCCGGAAAGTTGACGAGTTCTATTCTTAACTATGTATGACGTAGTCACATTGACGGCATTTAGCCATAGCATGCCACAGTTAACCTCTGCAAGCACGCTCAGATGCTTCATCTGCAAAGAGAGCCGGCATACCTTTGGCAATGCCCGAATGCAAAACCTTTGGAAATGCCCAAATGCAAAGAACCTGCTTCAGATCATCAACTTTGTTTGCAGGAGAAACCTGAAATTCACGACAAGTGATTGGAATCGCCGACCTGCTGTTCCACTGCACATTCACCTTTCGCCTCGGGGACACCAACGATGCATACCCACTCAAGGATACATATCAACCACCCTCGCATCAGTCGGCATGGCGCAGCAACCGGAAACCTGTCAGCGTGAAATGGCGAGGGGCTTCCACGACAGTCTGTAAATGCAGAGAAAGACACTCCCGAAACTTCGTGTCACACTTCTGATTCTGGGGATTCTAAATACCATGCGGTGGTAGGTGGATTCGAAATGCTTACTTTCCACAGAAATTACAGATGATATACTGACTCTTGCCACTTTCGCGGACAAAAGGCGCTGTTGATTGTATGAGTGTTCCGGCTATGTACGTTTAACGCTACAACATCGTAGTTGAGACGCTGATTTGTTCTTACGACCGTCGCGATTGCTACTCCAGTCACTACGCCTATGAGTGGCTGAGTGGTACATGCGGGATCGAGCTCACGTTGTAAAACAGACACAGCCGCCCTAGGCCGGTTCAAAAAAGTACCTTTTCCGCTACCCTTGAGTTTAGAGTCTAGCTCGCAGGGGCAGTCTCCTCTGCTTGCCCCCACTGGTACGCATAGACTGAAGGATCACTGGCTGAAGAGTCGTAGGAGTCCCCCAGTCGGAAAGATCTCTAAATTCGCGACCTTCTAGCTGCCCTTACCACAGAAAACCTAGCTCTATAACGATGACATAACCACTCCCTGACTGATCCGAAAGACAAGAACGACCAAGGCCTGCTAGAACGGCTTTGCAGCCTCTACCAAGAGCTTTAAATCCCTAAAGCCTAAACCCTAAACCCTGAACCCTAAACCCTAAACCCTACTTCCTAAACCCTAAACCCTTATTCCCTAAACCCTAAACCCGAAGTCCCTGAAGTCGAAACCGGAGATCCGGGTTTCGGCCGTAGCCTTTCTTCCCGATGTCCCAAATCCCGCATCACAGTGGATCACAGGCGCTGCTACTGCCCTAAGCGTCCTAACAAATTGGGGACCCCTCAAAATTGCGGATTTTTGTCCAAGGACTCTCCCTAGGACATTCCGGACCCTCCTAAGGAGATACCTAGACCCTTAGGGTGATAAGTCGAATGTAAGTAGTACCGACTCCTTGCGGACTTCAGATGCCAAAGTCGGCACTATTTCAGTGCTTGGAGGCTCGGGGTATGGTCCCACTGTTGATGGACAAAATCCTGCATGACTGTGAGGACCCTAAACTATGGGAATTATGGTATATTCCTCATATTGGGATTTTGTCCATCCACAGCAGGGATGCTTGGAATCTGAGCCTCTGTTCTGGTCGTACTCTTCACAACGTCAGCAGCTTGCTGTAACAGGGACAGCTGGAACAGCTCTAAAGTAGGTGAATAACCCGATGTGCAACCCGAATCCCTGTAGTCCTGTAGTCCTAAATCCTACAAGCGCCTTGTCATTAATCAATGGCATCCCGATCCTCTGGAAACGTAACCCGCAAACGAGGGTCAACATTTCCTTTGCTCTACGGCTTCCGCAGGTCCTATATTCTCTTATCTAAGTTATAACTTGTGGGGGCCTACGAGGTGTGTAGAATTCACCCGTGCTCCAAAACGCTTTGATGATAAGCGGTAGAGTATGCTGAAGCTGACCCCACCCTGTAATAGTGCCTATAAGGATTATATTAGGACCCTATTGTATTCCTATTATACCACCATTGCAGGCCCCCACCTTCTAAGGTATGCTGAAGCTGACGATATCAACCTTTCGTACGCTTCCGGGGTTGTAGCTTCGGGCTTAGGGCTGCGACTTCCTCTGGGCTTGTAGCCCAAGCCGTATGAAGCTGGGTAGGGTTACAAGTCAATATAACATAACAGTTTCGGGTCTAGGGTTTAGTAACATATATAACACCCTCTAAAGTCCCAGTATACTTACTTGCCCAGTATCCAGGCAGAATTGAAGATTAAGCATTAGCATTGCATACGGATCATAATATCACCCAAAACTTCGATAGTTACCTACTCTACCATCAAGTGCCCAGAGAGCCCCATTAATTAGGGAATATGCCGTAAACCATAACAAGCCCCCCGCCCCCCGCCCCATAATTTAAGGGATGCTCCTGAATGGAGGGGGTTGGGGCTCTCTCGGTATAGCCGTCTTAAAGAACGACATGCTGAACGCAAAATCCCTATGTGGTTGAATATGGTTTGGGGTCCGGGGCATTTAGTCACCCGGAGGGTCCTAAGTACCTTTCTGGGGAATACTTACCCAACCATAGTAGTAATTCCTAACATTTAAAAACCCTACATTCTACCATATAGGTACTTAGGACCCTTTGGGTTAAGGATAACTATTTCAAGAAGTCCCAAACCTCAAGACCTTAATGCATGCAAGCCCTACAACCGAAGTCACGTAGATTGGCAGAACTTTGGGCCTAAGGCACGAAACCCTTACAGCCCCGACTCTGAATCTGAAGGCCCCAATTCCAAAATGAAGTATCTACGGTCTCAAAGTTCAGAAAACCCCAGATGTCAGACTCTAAACCCTAAGCCCAAACCCCCTAAACCCCTGCACCCCTAAACCCCTGAACCCCTACACCCTACACCCCGAAACCGCTCGACCCAAAAACTCGCTAGTCTTGGCCCCTCACCCCTTCCCAGCCGGATGCTTCCATGTCGTCATCATCCTCCTGCAAGCGGATCGGGCTCAAGAGTGTGGCTTATGACAGGGTTTTGGGGGTTTGGGGTTTAGGCCCGGGGTGCGCTACAGGAGGGGTGCTATACACTCATATGACTCATATGTGTTCTGTGTGAAAGATACTATAACCGATCCTTCTAGGGCAGTTTAGGCTGTACCAATCAGATAATAATAACGATTCTTAGGGTATTGTAAGAGTTCCTGAGCATTAGGGTTTGAGGTTTAGGCTTTGGGGCTACCAGAAACTCGTTCAGGGTTGAGGGGTTCAGGGTGAACACCGCTCAAATCTGTTAAAGCTTCAATCGAAGTCTTGTTTGTCGTCCTCGGCAATACCACCGACCCTGTAATAAGGATCCTACTATTTAGGGTGCTATGTTAGGGTCCCCTATTTTCGGAAACTCCCACATCCTGAGCCCTATATTCCTCCATCCTCACCTGAACCCAAACCTCAAACCCCCAAGCACTGACACTTGATCCCTAAACCCAAACCCGGAAGCCCAAAGCACAAACCCCCAAGCAGCCCTTATAGTACCCTTTACCATACCCTTCTGAACCTATGCAACAAGCCCTAAACCCTAAACCCCCGAACTCCTAAACCCTACTCCAAAACCCTAAACCCTAAATACTGAACCCCTAAAGCCTAAACCCTAAACCCCTATAAACCCTATAAGGCCTTATATAGGAGCCCACCCCCAACCCCCCTGAGCCGGATCTGAGGAATGCGGCCGACTCGGAACCGGAGAGCGTCTCGCTGCCGTCGCCTCCGTGGCTCTGCGCTCTTTGCTGTGTGTCTTTAAATGGGACTTTCCGAAAATTAGGGGTACCTTATTTGGGGTTCATTATAATAAGGATCCTACTATGTAGGGTACTATATTAGGGGCCCCTATTTTCGAAAACTCCCAAATGTTGTTTGAATGGGAGATCTGGGGTTAGGGGGGGTTACCCTAAGACTCCAAGTATACAAATAGTACCTACTTTGGGGTCTAAAGTCTATAAATGCTACCTACTTTGGGCTATTTGGTGTCTTAGGGTTAGGATTTAGGGTAGGTTCAGGGTAGGTTTAGGGGATTAGGGCTTTAGGGGATTATAGGGTTTAGGGTTCAAGGTTGGGGGGGAGCGGGGGGCGTTAGGACGGGAGGTTTTCGGATTAAGGGTTTCTTTAGGCCTTGAGGGTTAAGGCTTTAGGGTTTTTGAAGCTTAGGATTTATAAGGCTCAAACGCTTTAGGGTATAGGGTTTCAGGCTTAGGGTTTGGGTTTTCAGGGTTCTGGGGTTTCGTGCAGAGCTCAAACTTTTCAGAGACTAGAGTTTCGGGTGGGCATTGCCAGGAAAACTGACAGGCTTAGTTAAGTACTTTGAGGCTGTTAACCCGAGCTCAGACAATGCCTCTTGACATGTCCCCGCCTATTCCTCGATCGCGGTCTAGCTGGTCTGCGAGGTCCTCGCAATCACGCGGCTGCGACGGACTTCGAGAAAATAGATCATGCAGCATCTAAGTGGGTCAATTGTGATAGCAAGTTCTTGTAAACATAGTTTAAACCATAACCATAAGAACTAAGCCCCATGATCCTTTCGATGTTAGTAGTAGAAAGACAGGGCATTGGGTCGTCGCAAACGTGCTTCAGGGATAGATTGGCATCTTCGTAAACACTTAGTTTAGGAAACAGATCCATACCCTGTACAACACCCGAACTAGGGATCCGTACCCTGCAGTGCTCGTTCTACTAACATGGCAATCTGTAGAGACCTGCTACAAGCTCCATACAATGGGTCCTTGTTATAAGATTTAGGTGTAGGACTTGGGGCCTAAAACCTAAGACCATAGGGATCTTGTTCTCGAGTTCATATCAGAACAAGTTCGAGCAGTTCCGGCCAGCAGGTCCTTGACCGTTGGGAAGTCAAGGAGCAAAGTTGCCTGGCTGTGGTTTTCTTTTGGGACAAATGCCGTATGTCCTGAAGTAAGAATTTACAATGCCCTTGCGAAAACCTTCTATAGAAGGAAATTTCGGGTCTGGGGCTTCAGAAAAGTCGGGGAATTTCTCTAAAGATCATGTTTCTGCTCCCTTCGCATTTTTTCCATTTTTTCTGCTGTCGCTGAATTTAGTGGCGAGGAGATTGTGAAGAACCGCACACGTTGCGGGGACGGGAATCTTATGCAACATACAAAAGCCCCGGAAAGAAACATTAACATATGCACCCCTTCGGCTTGGCGAACAGCCAAAGTCAGTGTCACTTGCAGGCGAGCACTGGCTCACGGACACGGCAGGTGAGTTGGACTGCCAACTTAAGGAATCGGCGGTGGCAAAGAAGCAGCAGCGGCAGCACCTGCACTGTGAGCGACAAGCCTGTGGCAAGCAGCCTCCCAGCATTCAAACCTCTGGAAAGCAATCAAATAAAATTTGGGAGTGGCAGGGAGTCAAAATGTCAATAGCCTTGAGAGATTTGACTTGGGCCAGGTTCAAGCGCCAATCCATTTGCGCTATAGCTGGAGTACAATGGAGGGCTCCGACCAAGCGTTGCAGCATCTCCCGGCGAGTCACAAAACTGTCGCCCGGAGTAATCTGACGGGAGGCTGAGATCGCTGGACTCTGACAAATCCAGTAAAGTGGCCAAGCAACTAGAAGACCTGGACAACGGCCGCGCAGGAGGCATGGAGTCTATGGGCGAAAACAACGGACGTCCGGACATGGCCACAGGACTTCGAAAATCTGGCAACTTGGAGGCCCTAATCAATTAAGCTGTGGGCTGGTGCCTGTGACCTCTGTCAAAGCAGCATCTGACAGCTGAGCAGCACAAGATGGCTGCTATCCTGTTGAATCAGGAGCAATGCAGCTCCGCGCATTACAGGATTTGTTGCGCTGGAAAAGACATGTGCAGGAAGATCCTCCGCGAAAGAATGGCTGGACAATGCACAAGTGGTATCCACATTTAGAGTGAGTAGCTCCTGCTGCGTGGACTGGATGCCTTGCTCGCAGTGAACATAGTGGCCAACCGCATCTCCTGGAGCCTGGGTGAAGAACATGACTTGTGTTCTGGGAAACTTGTCAAGCCTCTGTTTCGCCTGAGCTATACTGATGAGCCTGGGCGAGAAGCGTAGAAAGAACCGATATGCCCCGTTGGCAGGCTCGTGCAGCACAATCAAACCTGTGCAAAACCAGAGCTGCAATGCTTCCACTGCTGTATGGTGATCTCTGCTACGCTGCTCCCGGGTGCCAGGATTTTCATAGAGGCAACTTTTGGCAGAGTGACAGAATTCTGCACGTTCCGAAGCACGAGCATCATGGCGGTGTTGATGCCCCGGCGAATGTGGCACGAGCTTGCGTGCCACCACCAATAAATAACTCCCTCGTGTGAGGCATCGAAGAGCATGGGCCGCGAAGTCAATTCGCCCAAAGCTAGATGACTAAAGCACAGACACATTACCAATCAGACTTGCTGTCGCAGCACTCAGCCAAGGAAAGCCAGCACGTGACTTGTCTTTTGCCCACAACCCAGACCATCGTCTTCTGCCTGAGCACCCCTCCATTATCTGTCAACATCATAGAGCCCCTGAGCCCGAAGCACAAACACGAGGGACAAATTGCATCATCCCGCAACCCCAAACCCCGCCCGAACCCTAAATCCTAAAAACCCCAAAACCCCAAAACCCCCAAACCTCAAACCTCAAACCTTGAACCACAAAGCCTGGACCCTGATTCAAACCTACACCCCCCAACACAAACCTTACGGCACAATCCCAAGGAACTCTGAAACCTCTCGGAAGCCGGCCGCACCCAAGGTAAAAAATCACAGAAAGACCGAGGCCAAAAGGGCAAAGCATCAAGTCCGAAAGGTTTAGGGTTTAGGGTTCGGGACTTCAAGTCCGAAACCCTTGCACAAGGGCTCAGGTACAGGTGCTGGCTGGGCTTCGAGTTTACAAGCTTCGGGAACAAGTTAAGTTTCAATATAGGGGTCCCTGATAGAGGCGTTGCAAAATACCCTGTAGGCTCATACCCTAGCCCTTTTTTAAGTTTTCTATATAGCAGATCCTAACCATAAAACTAGGTGTCCAAAAAAAGTGGCAGGGTATGAGCCTCCAGGCAATGTATAATATACCCCAGCGACCCCTTGGTCTACTATAGGGGCCTGTATAGGGTTGCGGGGTAGATTATCCTATATCTTGGTGGTTCCTGCTTATCTGCGCTCGCAGTTGTCATGAAGACGTACCAGAGCGTCCGGAGGACTTTCATGCTACCAGAGAGCAGCCGGAAGCAAAGCTGGATCGCGAACCAACTTCGAAGCCACCTCCTTGCTCTCGTCAACAATGCCCGAGGAATGAACGCAATCGAGGCTGGGCGGTACAACGCTCATCTGATCCTTCACTTGCGCCAGTTCACCCTGCAGACGGTCCAGGCGATTGTTTAGCACAGAGATGTGCGCCCGGTCGCATGCATGACGTGCCTCCTATTGGTAATTATTTAATCCCGTGCATTAATCAAGAAGGCCCTGTATCAGCACAGATCTCGGGTCAAGGGTGTTGGGGTTCGAGGTCAAGGGTTGAGGGTCTAAGGCTTTGGGGTTTACGGGATTTGGGGAGTTTGGCATGCATGTTTTTGTGTGGGTTCAGAGCTGTCTGATTTCAGTAGAAGTCTCAGTCTTTTGGATGAACCAGATCGACCGCCCTTAAAGCCAAGCTGGTGCTCCCAACGCACAGAGATGCGAAACTCGAATCAAAACCCACAGGCAACGCAACGAAAGCCTGAAACCCAAAATCCTCAAATAGCCCCTAAACCCTAAACCTTAACCCCTGGGCCTAAGCTTCCGAAAGCCCCAACCCTATGTAAACCCTGAATTTCTGAAGCCCTAAACCCTAAGCACCAAAACCTCAAGATCCCAAGACCCTATGATTGGGACCCTAATATAGTCTAGGATACCCAGTAACCTAAGAATAAAAAGGCCTCTCTTTTTGATATTGGGTAACTTTATAAGGAACCTAGGACTACAAAAAGGGAATAAGGGTACTACTGGGCATCCTAGTAGTACCCTAAGGAGTAGGATCTCCTTTATCAGGACCCCAAAATAAGGTCCCCCCCAATTTGCCGAAACTTCCCTTTTGCGGCCCTCGACCCTAAACCCTACACCCTACTTGGAGGGTCGGGGGACTTAGCAAGTAGGCAGTAAGTAGACTTGTAAGTACCCAAACAGGGACCCTAATTAGGGTTATGGTACTTATAAGTCCCGAAAATAATCAGCTTCTAAGTCCCCCGACCCTCCAAGTAAGCCCCTAAACCCGACTAAAGCGTCCCACATCGCCCTGCAGCTCGTCTCTCCTCGGCGAAACCCTCAACATCCTGAAGCTCCTAATTGTAGGGGCCTTAAATAGGGTGTGCGGTAGAAAAATACTTAAGGAAAAAATAAAATATTACATGATAACGGAATAAAGAAAACCTTTTCTTTTGATGATTCCTATATTCTATTTGCTTTTAGTATCATTCTAATTATTACGATTCCTATTGGTATTGTTACTATTATTCCGACCCCCTTTGTTGCAGTCCCATTCCAAGGGCCCTGGGCGACCGGACTGGCAGGTCCATGCTGAAGCTGCTGCACAGGCCTCTCCGGTTCAGGGCTTTAGGGTTTCAGAGTTTAGGCCTTTGGGGTTTTTAGTGCTTTAGCGCATGTAGAGGTGGGGAAAGGCTCCGGGTTTAGGGTTTTAGGGTTTGGGGCTTTGTCAGGGTTAGGGTTTAGGGCATGTAGAGCGCGGGGTAGGGCTCCGGGAAAAAAGAAACAGTCCCGTGCTTGTTTTAATACCTGAGGCCAAGTCTGCACTGAAAACCCTACTTTGCGTTGATACTCGGGCCTTACGAATTCGAGCAGGGCTTCAGGGTACATTAGCTGCACTTGTAATTCGGAACCCTCAAGAAGAATGATACACTTTAACGATTCAGGCCCCTATTGTTCACAGACAGCTGCTTTGGGCTATGATGAGCCCCACGGTTACCTTTTCATCACAAAAGGGAGGAACAGATTGTGAAAGTCCTACAACCCCAAACTCACCAAGCCCTAAACCTTTCATAAGCCCTGAAGCCAAGACCGCAACCCTAAAGCTTGTCAATCCAAAAATCCCTAAACTGACATTCCGCATACCACGAAACACGAGGAAAGCAACTCTATGCCTCCCAGAAACAAAATCACAAGCAGGTTATTCAACCCCCAAACATCAGAACCACCGTAAGCCCTAAACCCTGAACTCTCCCATGATCATTCTTGAACAAAGGCCACCCTAAACCCTAAACTCTATAAAACCTAAACCCCATAAAACCCCCTTAACCTCTAAACCCCTAGATCGGAAAACAACCCTTGTAGCACCTTGACAGGGACCCTCATATATACTCCCCTTTAAAGGAACCCCAAGCCCTAAACCCTTCAAAAAAAACCTATAAGCCCTAAAGCCAAAACCCTAAACCCCATATACCCTAGAAGCCCTAAACACTAAACCTAAAAATCCTAACCCTATAAACCCCAAACCCTGAACTGAAAGCGAGCCGAGGGGCGATTCCGCACCCGGATGAGCTCTAGCCTCGATACCGTTCATGCGTATTTAGGGGTTAGGGGTTTGGGGTTCCCTTAAAAGGCTCTATAAGGATACTACAGTGGTTTTGGGGTGTAGGGGTTTAGGGTTTAGGGCTTAGGGTTTAGGGCTCATGCAGCTGCACATGTGGGCTTTAGGGTTCAGGGATGCTTCGGGTTTGTTGGGTTTAGGGATGTTTAGGGTTCGTAGGGCTGAGGGATAATATGGTTTTGGTGTGAACAGGTAAGGTTTAGGGTTTGGGGTTTAGCGTTTACGGCTTCTAGGGTTTAGACTGTGGGTTGAGGGCTTATAGGTTTTTTTGGTTTTTGGTTTAGAGTTGATAGGGTTTCGGTTTTTTTTTTTTGTTTGAGTTTTGGGGTGTCTTCGCGCTTGGGGCTTCCAGGGTCTTGAGTTTCGGGTAGTGTTGTGTTTTTGGAAGGGGGGTCGTGTAGGTTCAGCGTACATAGGGTTTAGGGCTTTGGAGCTTTTATTGGGGTTTGGAATGGTTCCCTGAGATTCCACGTACCCACATAGTATATACAATGTGCCTAGAGAGGGAGCACTGTATGGCCAAAGTATGTCCTATTCGGGTACATGGACCCTTGACCAGCGTTTAGGGCTGTAGGGCTTTACGGCTTGTGGGATTCAAGCTGTACCGGGTTTAGAATTAAATTAGGGGGATTGTCGCCTGAACACAGCAACCCTCAGCCTCTTCCTTCGAACCCTTTAGAATAAACTTATCATAGACCCTCCCCCTACCTAAGAAAATCCTACAGAGCCCTGATTAAAAAAAAAAAGAACTTTCAAGACTCGATCTTGGCTTCGAGTCCCCGGCGAGTCCATGCCATAGTCAAAGAAGCCCCGCTGCAGGTCGGAAGTGTCGAGCCTGAGTGATGGGAAGGGGCCTTATAAAGGGGTCTATAAGGGTTACTATAAGGGATCTATAAGGGTACTGTAATATAGGGGCCTTAGTAATCCTACCTTTGGTTAGTAGGGAATGGAAGAATGGTAGTAATAGTAGGTATAGCTGTACCCCATTCCTCAATTCCCTACTAACCAAAGGTAAGGCATTGGGGTGTACGTGAAGGATCGTGTGACTTCGTAACAGTAGGTAAAGTAGCTGCAGTAAGAGCTAGGACAATCCCAATTAAGGTACTGATATAACTACCACTAAGTCCCATGATCCCCCAAGTAGGGGCGTACATGTTTTAGGGCTTAGCTTTCAGGGTAAAGCTTGGGCATGTGTTGTACCAGAATTGCAAAGGGAACCCAGGGAATACTACTCAAGCTTTTTCTTGTAGGTTTCGGGAATGAGTGTTTGGCCATTCAAACCGCATCGTGCAAGGTACAACCGCCCTCCCCGACCTGGGTGTCTCGCGTCTTTCCGCTGGGGCTCAGGTAGCGAATGTGCCAACTTTGCTTACTAAAGTTGTATTTGTTGTATAGAATCACGGCAGCTTGTTTGGTATCTTCAGTGAGTGCTGAAGTATACACTTTAACCCCAAACCCAAAGCCCTAAACCGTTTCAAGATGAAGCTCACTTCTTGATCGCATCAAACCCAAGGAGGTTCATAGTTAGCTATAAGTGGGGTTATACGTTCCCTAATATGGGCTATAACTACACTTACCCTACTCCTAACCTGACTTCTAACTACCAAAGCCCAAGAACCTGCAAGCACTGAGTTATGAGGGTGATACCCAGCAACTCCAAAACCCCTTCATTGCGGAATATACCTGCCATTATAATAGTAAACCCATATGACTTAAGGGGGTATTCCGTAATTAAGAGGTTTTGGAGCCTCTGGATACGAACGTTCATCAGCACTACCCCTACCACTACCCCTACGCCTTCCACTACAGTAGAAGCCAGAAAGTTGGAATATCATTATCCCAACCCCTTTAAGGTAAATTATAGGGGATCCTACCATTAATCCATATTCCAACTTTCTGGAGTTCCCTTTACCGCAACCGCTTCCCCTAACCCGGCTGCACAGGATCTGAGCCGAAAGCTTGTATCCCAGCTCCTCCATGATCTGAGACAAGACCTGGCGCGAAGGGCTAAGGGTTTAGGGATTTAAGATTTAGGGTTTAGGGTTTAGGGTTCGGGTTTATATAGGGGTTTAGGGGTTTGGGGGGTTTTAGGTCAATATACTTTGGGGGCCTTGGTTAGGAAAGGGTTGACGCCTGTGGTGTCTCGAAGCCCCAAAAATTTGTGGTTTCTGGGTTTAACAACTCACGTCGAATGGCCCCACTTTCTGGTACTCTTCCAGCACATGGAACCCGTGCAGACGTTTGGTCTCTAATATTGAAAGCCAGTATCAACTCGTCAAGCTCTAGGTAAAGTTAGGGTGCACTTCGGTTCCTGTCAACCTAGACCCTAAACCCTTTGTGATGCTTGTCTTGCATATATCAATAATGCGACGAAGCTCTCCCACAACACTATCTTGGACGTTCATTTCGGGTTTACGGGGTTTCGGGTTTATGGTTTACTTGGAGGTCCTTGGGTGGTTATGTGTGGGGTTTTACGTCCGTGACTATGGGTCATAATTACCGCTAACCTACATATTATAAGCCGACTTACAACTACCTATTGTTGTAGAATAACACCGTATAAAAATCCTTATCCCTGAGTGTTGTTATCGTGTTATTCTATTCTTCTCGTTTTACCACGAAAAATGCGCTATCGTTTTGTTATCGTTTTATGTTCCCTTGTTATCGTTTTCCACGGAAAAGCATCAAGACCGAAAACAGACATGCCGAGACTAAACTTAACAGCACGGAGTTATTATACAGCCCACTATGAACCTCCAAGTACACCGGTCTCCGTGTCATCATGGGGCTGACCCATGCACAGGAGTCTCCAATTGAGCGTCTCGCCTGCTGCCTTCACTACAATGAACCGATGAATAGGACACGGGCCGTGGTCCGACAGCTGAGAATTTGGAGAGCTCGAGAAATGGAACAGGGTCCTGGGGTTCATGACTGTGCAGATTTTATCGGGATTAGAAGGGAATGAGTACGATCTCAATGTCTGCCATACTAGAGCATTAAACCAAGAGTTTCTTCAAGCATCAAATGCAAGAACATAACTGCAGTCACTATCGGTTCATCTAGAAGCCTCATTCACCACGGTTTGGGGCTTAGGGCTTAGGGTTTGCAGGGATGTAATGCAGGGGCCTTTAGAATTATTAATAGAGCTTTGGGGTATACTGTACAAAAAATGTAAAAATAACAAGGAACCCCCAAAATAGTATAGGTAAGTATTAAGGCCCCTAAAGTAGCGTTGCCCCGACATCTTCACCTGCCATCTGATTTGCAAACGTTCGAGCACCCATCAACGGAGTGCTGAAAGAAGGGTCTCCCGTTCTTTACTGTTCGGTCTTTGCCGTCGCGCCGAAAGCTGCTACGAATCAGGAAAGGTTCGTCAAACCCAACCGGAACCCTCAATCGCACTTACATGCTACCCTTGTAGAACCCTAGAACCCTAAACCCTAAACCTAGACGTAAAGCTTACATCACCCTGACCCTATGAGGCCCAGTTCAGGTCCCCCAACCTCCAAGGTGGAGATCATGGAAACCTTTGTGTCCTCACGGAACGCTGAGCAAAGGCTATAGGGGCTCTCGTAAATAAGGGAGTGACTACGCTTTAAAAGTTCGCACATATTTTACTGTCATATCGTTCAAAAATGAATCGGAGTACGCCCTAATATACAAAAGGACCGTAGAGGAATACGATCGCTAATCTTTCAGACCCCCACGGTTCCCTAATGACAGGATCGGAAAAGGTCAGGACTTTTCGAGCTAGGGGTGGAACGTCTTGGGCGAGTCGAAGGTATAGTTAGACCGGGGCGATGCTTAAAACTTGCGGATCTTGCAACCCTGAAAGAGGCCCTTAAACCCTAAACCCTTAAACCCTAAATATCTAAATGCATATCTTACACTCCCTCTGTGGCCGTCGGGGCCCGGCCGCCTTGCAATCAAGCCATAACTGCGAAGGGAATGTGAGAGAATGCTATTACCAACTCTTTCTACATGTTATTTAGCACTAACTGTAGTGAAGACCTCTCTTGGGAATTTCTTGCCGGTCTCCTTGCGCGGAACCACCTCGCGGCCCAGCGTTTTGATGTCGTACTTGATAAGGACACCAATCTGCGATTACTGTCTAGTGCTTAGTAGGGAATGGGCGAATGGATCCCTACACCAGCAGTCCCTACATAATCCCCAACAAAATTTCCCCAGAACCCATTCCGCCATTCCCTACTAAGCACCAATCTGCGACGAGGGTCTTGGGTGTGGGGGTTCTTGGAGCTGAGTGGCCGATGTAGGGTCTACTTGGAGGGTCGGGGGACTTAGTAAGTAGGTCGTAAGTCGACTTATAAGTACCCTAAAAGGGACCCTAATTGTTATGGTACTTATAAGTCCCTAACATAACCAGTTACTAAGTCCCCCGATCCTCCAAGTAGGGAAGCTCAGAGGACCTAAATACCTTTCTGGTGCGCACTTACCCAAGCAATAAGAATAATAAGAACAATAAGTAATGACAATAATAATTATCATAAACGAACACTAATACATCCTTAGAAATTATCATAAACGAACACTAATACATCCTTAGAAAGACACCCCTAAACTCTACTCCGAAACCCTACTCTCCGCTACGTGTGGTGCTTGGAGCCCTGGAAGGTGGTTCTGGAACCCCGATGCCGAAGGAGACGTTGTGCCCGGAAGTTTTTTTAGGGGTTTAGGGGTTTAGGGGTTTAGGGGTTTAGGGTTTAGGATAGGGTAGGGATGTAGGGGTTTAGGGTTTAGGGGTTTAGGGTTTAGGGTTTAGGGATGTAGGGGTTTAGGGTTTAGGGGTTTAGGGTTTAGGGATGTAGGGGTTTAGGGTTTAGGGGTTTAGGGTTTAGGGTTTAGGGATGTAGGGGTTTAGGGTTTAGGGGTTTAGGGTTTAGGGTTTAGGGATGTAGGGGTTTAGGGTTTAGGGGTTTAGGGTTTAGGGATGTAGGGGTTTAGGGTTTAGGGGTTTAGGGTTTAGGGGTTTAGGGTTCAGGGTTTGTTGTGCTCGGAAGTTTTCATGGACATGTGCGAGCCCTGAAGCGTTGCAAGGGGCTGGCTTCAGGCTTTAGGGCTTTTTCACACAACAAACTGTAGAATATTGATGGTAATCTCATACCTGTCGGAATTCCCACTGTGTCCCTGCACAAGTTTGCATTAGTCAAGCAACGATCGACAATTATCCCATTTGGGGCTAAAGAAAAGCTATAGGTTCCTCATTCATAGTCCTATCTTTGAAGCCCCCAACTCCCCCAAGCCCTCTACGAGACACCACTCTTGGGACTTTGATCTGAACCTTGACAGGGAATTATCTTCTAGACATCTTGAAAACTTAGGTGTCTGGCTAAGGGATAGCTGTAAAGGATATCAATTGCTAGAGATCTGCTACTTGCGAAGGCTACCACAGCTTCAAGCGCGAGACATAAGCCAGTAAAACCTACCCCTAGGGCTCAAGTTGCCTAAGTAGTAGGTAACCAACCATGTAGTATATAACCCAGTAACCCATTATTTAAGTAACTGGAGCCCGAGGGTACTCTACGATGCCTGTAACTGGGTTCTAGATGGAGGCACTGAAACACAAAGACAAGATCTAAGCCCCACCAATGCCTAACCTCTGACCTCCCTCAACGACCTAACCCCTAAACTCCAACTCCGGGGCTGCTGTTCCTGTCATGACCACTAGTGTTTTCATTACGAATGTTGGTACTACGACGATTACCATCGCCATTACTCATTTCGTACACACCTGAACTCATACACTCATAACATATGTCTCTTCCGAGCACAGTCAGAAACCCTGTGGTTCTAAGAACTCGTAGCTTGAATCGCTGGTCCGTCAAAAAGCACAAGGCCAAGGCCTACACCCTAAACACTTGTATAGAAGCCTGCATAAGTACCAATATGCTTTTGCGGGGTTCCGTCTTGCATTTACACGATCATACATCCCAAAAGCTCAGCTCCATTACATCCCAAACCCTGAACCCTGAACCTTAAACTCTTGATTCGAATCCTTTGGCCCCACGAGTTTTGAGCCTAGGGTTCAGCAGTTTCGGGGTTTAGGGTTCAGGGGTTTAGGGTTTTCGAGCATGGTAAAACTTTCTACTACAGAAACCCTACTTCCTATTATGTCGGGACCTGGGGAATCAGAGGCTCGGGCTCCCTGGTTGTCCGTATCCTCTGGTCTGAAATCGGAAACGATCTTCAGCACCTCTCTGCAAGCTTTGAGCGGTTTAGGGTTTAGAGGCTGGGTGTTTAGGGGCAAGTGTTGAGGTTTCTTCGTTGAAGGCGCAATGTAGGGGCCTTAAGAATCAGAACAGAGTTTTGGGGTATATCTTGCTATAGTTAAGTTTCTTTTAAGGAACCTCCAGAATAGTGTAAGTATGTTTAAGCCTCTACAATAGGTTCTGGGGTCACAGACTAAAATGTCGACTGCACTGGATGCCTCCGACTGGGGCCGAAGATAAGGGGTCTAGTGTTGCATGGCACTTTGCAGGCAGTTTTTTTAGACGTCCCTTTTCCGTTCGCCGAGGTTCAGAAAGCGGTTCCCGCTGGGAGTTTGCCCTTCCACACACATGGGCTCTTTGCAGGCTTTTAGGATTTAGGGCTCAATTTAGGGTTTTAGGTTTAACTTAGGGTTTCAAGGTTTGGGGGTTCAGGGCTTCGGGTTAAGTAGAGGGTTGGAAAAAACTTCGGGCTCATGATCTGTTTCAGTGTTGAACACACTTCTCTGCGTCGATGCGGCTGCAAGATTTTGGCTCTTGTTTCCTCGTCCTAAACCCTAAACCCTAAACCCTATTTTCGAGGCTGGGAGTCGGGCGTTCCCGCAGAAGACGGGGTGCCCTATTGAAAGATTTAGGGTTTAGGGTTTAGGGTTTAGGGTTCAGCAGCTCTGACTTTGAAGACTTAAGGTCAAGCTTTTTCTAGTCAAGCTATCTTCAAGAATAAACCCCACCCGCCCAGAGAATCCCCTCACATTAGAATTATAGTTTATTTCTTTTGGCTTGAATTATTAAATACTAACCTACATACGACTCGGAGTGCTTGTCGTGACTACCCCCCAATAAGCGACGCTCATGCTCTTGGCTTTCCTCGGACTGCTTGTCGTGACTACCCCCCAATAACGCTCATGCTCTTGTAAACACTGTGGCCCTAAACCCGGGGCCGCTGAACACCTGGGGCCCTAAACCCGAGGCCGCTGAACACTGGGGCCCTAAACCCTAGGCCTCTAAACACTGGCGCCCTAAACCCAAGGCCGCTAAACACTGGAGGCCCTGGCCCTAAACCCGAGGCCCCTAAACACTGGGGCCCTAAACCGTACGCCGCTAAACACTGCAGCCCCAAACCCGAAGCCGCTAAACACTGGGGCCCTATAAACCCTAGGCCGCTAAACACTGGGGTCCTAAACCCGAGGCCGCCAAACACTGGAGCCCTAAACCCGAAGTCGCTAAACACTGGGCCTCAACCCCTAAACCCAGTGCCCTAACTCTAAACCCGAGGCCCCTAAACACTGGAGCCCTAAACCCAAGGCCGCTAAACACTGGAAAAAAATCAAGAACCACGAGTTTTGATCAGTTAACCACGAGTTTTGATCAAAAACCACGAGTTTTGATCAATTAACCACGAGTTTTGATCAAAAACCACGAGTTTTGATCAATTAACCACGAGTTTTGATCAATTCACCACGAGTTTTGATCAATTAACCACGAGTTTTGATCAAAAACCACGAGTTTTGATCAAAAGCCACGAGTTTTGATCAATTCGCCACGAGTTTTGATCAATAACCACGAGTTTTGATCAATTCGCCACGAGTTTTGATCAAGAGCCACGGGTTTTGATCAATTCGCCACGAGTTTTGATCAAAAGCCACGAGTTTTGATCAAAAAGCCACGAGTTTTGATCAAGAGCCACGAAGTCATTAGGGTTTAAATTACTATAGGTAGAGAGGTTTAGGGTTTAGGGTTTAGGGTTTAGGGTTTAGGGGTCCCCGATATTTCGGGATCCTGGAATGCAGGGTGGGTAAGGTCCCCGCATTTCGAATTCAACTTCCCTGCCAGCCTGTTCTGACCTATCCTCCCCTTAAACCACGATAAAAAACAATGTTAGGTTTAATGTTCTCTTGGGTTTTATATGAACAAAAATAAAACAAATAATTCCTGAGGAGACTATAGTGACATGGATTTATGTTGTTTGTGGGGACTGTGGAGCTGCTCTAATAAAGCACCCCAGGGATTCATAATGAGGGGGCCTAGTTACTTGGAGAGTCGGGGGGGACTTAGTAACTGGTTAGTTTATAGACTTATGAGTACCAGGGTCCCTTTTAGGGTACTTCTATAGTGAACCCCAGAAAGTTGGAACATCGATTTAGGATGATTCATGCTGGGATTCCCTTTACTTTCATTTAAGGGCATGAGGCTACTGATGTTCCAACTGGCTTCTACTATAAGTCTACTTACTACATACTTACTAAGTCCCCTGACCCTCCAAGTAATGAGGGGGGCTGGTTATCAAGTGTGATTGATGGTTGGCGGCGTCTTCGGGAGTGACCAAAAACTCCCTAAATCCCTAAACCCTAAGGCGTGCCTCTGCGCCGTAGCTCGTGTGGAAATCCACGATCGGATCTACCTCGAAGCTCAAAGCCCAAGACATACGTTCTAATGTTCACGTACTAGTAGAGGCTTCGGTGAACTCGAATCACAGGAATAAGGCTCGAAGCCAACCCTAAACACGAAACCCAACACACAGGTCACAGGTCTAGGGCTTCAGGTTCAGCGTTCAGGGCACTTGTTGCTCCTAAGAGACGGTCCAAAAGTGTTCCCGAGACGCTGGAAGGAGCGTTGCTGCTGCTGGGTTTTAGGGTTTAGCGGCTCGAGTTTCGGGCTTAGGGTGCTAGCAGGACGGTAACGACGGCGACGATGATTGCGCGACAACTTGTTCTGCACGATCGGGTTTTCCTTGCAATGAATAACCTGACACTCTAGTCCTAGAAGGAAATTGGCCTTAGTTACTAAAGCCCGCATCCCTAGACCTTAAACCCTTAGCCCCGGGAAACCCTGAATCACTAAATTTCCAAACCCTAACCCCGTAAGCCGTGCACAACAAAAATCATGTCTCTGGGTCCGCAGCGACCTTCCCTGCGACGTGGTTGTCGACCTTCTTAGAAAGGAAGCTGATACAGTAGAAGCCAGAAAGTTGGAATATCATTATCGTAACCCCTTTAAGGTAAATTTTAGGGGATCCTACCGTTAATCCATATTCCAACTTTCTGGACTTCCCTTTAGAAAGGAAGCTGATAAAGGTCTTGGAAGAGTCTGAAAGGGGCCTGTAAGGGCTCCATAAAAGTTTTATTACGCATGAACACGCGTGCGGTAAGATTTAAAAAAAGAAGTTCGTAAGGGGTCTCTAGGGAGCTTCTAGTTGCAGGGTATTACAGGGGTTCTTTGAGGGGTCTACAACGGGTTCCACTAAAGTTTCGGGAGTATCATCACGGCCTTTCAGTTCCGGATGGCGCTGCAACAGCTGCTGAAGAGCGCGGGAACCTTTAAAATCCCGAATTTGTCAACTTGGGCCTACAGGAGTTGACACCGCCCTATTACGGGGCACCTTGAACTCATGATACAAGTTTCTCAGGTCATCCACACACCCTTTGTTTGATACAGCCCTCATGCCTAGAAACGAACTGGTGTGCCCCATCTTCCGGGCCCAAGTGGGTGGCCCTCTTTCAGCTGCATCACGCGGCCTACGATCAGTGATCTGCCTTAGCTCCCCATCAGGTTTCGCTAAACAGAACAAGTTTGCGGCGTGCGAGGTGTTGATCTCCGTTTCAGCCGCCAGACATAGGCGATCTACAGCATCCCATCGCCACATCAAGTGCCACAACTCCGTGCGGCTGGAGGTCATCACAGCGGGTCTCCCTAACGGTTCTGAGGTTACCAGCAGAGCATCAGGATTCTCAAAGGCCTCTCTTAGCGGCTCAAGATACGGTGAAGGATTGAAACCCCGAAGCCGGTCAGGAAAGGCTGCTTGACTTGCCACGGTGGGAACTACTTGGGCGGCAGCTCCCCCGGCGGCTGCTGAAGTGTTCAACATAAGGAGGGGGCTATGGGAGTGCCGGGGGACCAGGTTCGGGCACCCTACCCAGGAACACGCACACACACACACACACACACACACACACAAAATACGCCTCTTTTTTCCGAGCTGAAGATTCGGATTCTGCGACTTGTTTAAAATACACGAGCAAGGACAGGGTATGGGTTTCGGCAAGTATACCTTATGCAAACCTATTATTCAATCTTCAGCCCAAAGTCCTCAGAACCCCGAAGCTTTGCAAGGCCAGCCCTCAGTCCCCCTAAAAAAAGCACAAGCCAAAACCCTAAACCCTAAGCCGAACCTAGGGTCAACCTTCGACTGGGCTCTAAAAGTTGATCGAACAAATCAAACCTTCTGTGGTTTGACGGCCTTAATGCTCCAAACCCTACAACACTGCACCCTAAACCCTCAGCAGACATCTTTCATAAGCTCGATTAGCCACACACACCCCTCTCTAAAACCCTTGAAGCCCTAAACCCTATCACTTTAGAACCCTGCAGCATGAAAACCCAAAATACCCAAAACCCTAAGCCCTAAACCGACCCTACACCTTGGAGCATAAACCCTGAACCCTCCCAACTTTACAAACCCTGAAGGCAGCTTGGATCCCGAAACCCTGAACCCAAATCTTCATCCTCACAGCACAACTCCCCCAAACAAAGAGGACTCATCGACAGCTCTGAAACCATAAACCTGTTAGGATTCAAGGTGTAGGGGTTTAGGGTTTGTACGGGACCCCCAAAGGTCCCATCAATCAAGCCCTTATGGCCCTTAATAGTGATAGTGGGTATTTTGGGTTGGGGGGGTTTAGGGTGTTGGGTTTAGGGCTTTAGGGTTTCTAAACTCCATAGATCTCCCGTCGGCCCCATTGTGGAAAGCTTCGGAACCCGTAGAGAACCCTGACCCTTGTAGAACTCTTTCAAAGACCCTTCATAGAACCCTATAAGAACGGACCATGAACCCCAAGACCTACATTTTAAACTAACGCTACATGAACCCTCAACCTTAAACTCCCGAAACCCTCAACCCTAAACCCCTGTAAGCCTTGACCATAAAACCCTAAGCCCAGGGAGCCCCACACCCCTTAACCAAAGAATATACCTTAAGTTGTAAGGGCCTTAATATTGCTGTTGAAGGTATATTCCGTAAACAAGCGGCATTGCCCAGCCTAAACCCTGAACCCTAAAACCCTAAACCCTAAACCGTGTAGGGGGTATTGGGCTCTCTGGGGACCCCTTATAGAATCCCTGTAGATCCCTTAGAGGAACCCTTACAACTACCCATGAACCTCCAAGCGCTGAGTGCAGTGCATACTCTTGCATTGTCTTGCCGGATGCTTTGAAGTCCCTGCACCGGGTGACCTGAAGCTTCCGGTAGGGGTTAGTAAAGCTTAGGGTTGAGGGTTCAGGGTTTAGGGTTCTGTTGTTAATGCTTAGGTAGGGTTTAGTAAAGTTTAGGGTTTAGGGTTCTCTCATGGGTGGCTGTAAGTATTCCTTTAAGGATCCCTTTACAGGGATCTATAGGGATTGTATAAGGGTATAGGGTTTAGGGTTTACATAGGCTTTTCTAGAGTTTAGGGTTCTGCTGTTGGTGATATAAATCCTGCATTACCTCAAGGACCCTAAACTATGGGAATTATGGTATATTCCTTCTTACTAGAGTTTTTTTGTTGTGGGCTCTTTGCCAACTGGTGTACAAGGAGATTACCAGAAGGAGCCGATGTTGGGGCCTCGTTGTGTCAGAGGGGAAAAGGAGGGACCCTTAATGGGGACCCCTACCCTATAATGGCTATATTAAGGGTATATACCTAGGGGTCCTTATTAAGGGTCCCTCCTTTTACCCTCGGTTGTGGTTTACTCGAGTTTAGGGCTTCGGGCTCTGTTAACGGTTTAGGGTATACGCTTCTGTCTGTCGGCTGCAGGGTTCAGGGTTCTCTTGCGTTTACGGCTTCGTGTCGAACTCAGGCATAGCGTTTGGGGTTCTAGGGTTAAGAGTTTAGGGTTCCACAAGGGTGTAGGGTTCAGGGTTTATAGGGCTCCACGGTTTTACTGGGTTGTTTTGGTTAAGCTCCTGTTTTTCCTCCTGCTCAGTTACAGTCAGACGGCCCCAGAGGCCAGGAGTTCGGGCCACATTTCGGGGTTTGGGGTTTAAGGTTATATCAGTCTTATGGTCTCGGAGTCTATTAATTAGCCTTTACGGTTCAGGGTTCTATTGAAGTTTAGGTGCTAGCTCAGGGTTCTACTAGGGTTCAGGGGTGTGGGTTCTATTGGAGTTTATGCTTTCAGCAGGATTTCGGGTTTAGGTTCTGTTGGCGGCTTGAAAGGATCTTCATGGGGCCCGCTATGGGCTCCAAAGCGGCTTTGTAGGATTGGATACAGTGGCCCGTCCATAAGTTCCAGAAGGGTTTCACGATGTTTGACCTAGTCGTGTTATCGGAGGCTCTACCAAGGACTTATGGGTTCAGGGATATAAAAACAATAACAACAATAGTTGTCTTCATCATCACAACCATAACAAGAACAGCCGTATTCATAATCATATTGACGCTAGGCTCAGCCCTAAGCACCCTTACAGACCCCCTTATAGTAACTAGCCCCTACTTGGAGGGTCGGGGGACTTAGTAAGTAGGTAGTAAGTAGACTTATAAGTACCCTAGAAGGGACCCTAATTGGGGTTATGGTACTTATAAGTCCCTAAAAATAACCAGTTACTAAGTCCCCCGACCCTCCAAGTAAGGCCCTTATATGCATCCGACCCCTTCATAGTAGTCCCTATAGACCCTTTAAAAAGGAACCCTAAAGGCCCTTCTAACCCTAAACCCCCAACCCTAAACCTTAAACCCTAAACCTGAAACCCCAAACCCTAAACCCTAAACCTTAAACCCTAAAACCCTAAACCTTAAACCCTAAACCTTTGCATCCTGTGAGTCCCTGGCTCCCACCACGCAGTCGACCCCCGGGTCGAGGCGCGCGAGATGCAGCCTCGGGAGAGGCGGAAGCTTGGGAAGTTAGTTCAGGGTTTAGGGTTTAGGGGTTTAGGTTTTAGGGTTTGGGTTTTAGGATTTCGGGTTCGGGGTTTGGGGTTTAGGGTTTGAGGTTTAGGGTTGAGGGGTTTAGGGCTTAGGGGTTCAGGGGGTTTAGGGTTTAGGGGTTTAGGGGGGGGTTTAGGGCTTAGGGGTTTGGGGTTTAGGGTTTAGGGGTTTAGGGCTTAGGGGTTTAGGGGGTTTAGGGTTTAGGGGTTGGGTTTTTAGGCTTAAAGTTTACGGGCTATACTTTGAATAATCAGGGTTTTGGAGTCCGTATACTATAATGCTGTAGGCACTACTTGGAGGGTCGGGGGACTTAGTAAGTAGGTGGTAAGTGGACTTATAAGTACCCTAAAAAGGGACCCTAATTGGGGTTATGGTACTTATAAGTCCCTAAAATAACCAGTCACTAAGTCCCCCTAGAAAAGGAACCCCTAAAGGAACCCCTTATAGAAACCCTACCAGTTACTAAGTCCCCCGACCCTCCAAGTATATGCGAGATTTCGGACTTCAGCTGTTCAAAAAGGGGTTTCTTAGCAGGAGCCCTAATCAGTAGAAGACGGCTCTGGGGACGGCTATACATACTCATAAAGGGACTACAGTATCAAGAAATAGTGCCAGCAATTATTCCGATCCCTTTGGTGTTATGCTATGTATCATACAAACAATCCAGCTAAAGCGAGAACTACATGACAAAAAATGTGCTTGTGCACTCAACCAGTACAGTAACACATCTCTTCATCCTCCAACCCCGCCCCCCCTAAAAAAGTAAGCACAAGCACCTGATGGACCTTGCAAGCCATACAAAAGGCTTTGCTTGACAAAACCTTTTGTAACGAACCCAAAACCCTAGCAATGAACGTTTGGTGACGAACAGGCCTTCTTCCACGAAACCCTAAACCCCAAACCCTAAAACCTTTCAAGCCCTAAACCCCAAACCCTGAACTCTAAAACCCCAAGCCCCTAAACCCTTCAACCCCTAAACCCCAAACCCTGAACCCCAAACCCCAAGCCCCTAAACCCTCAACCCCAAGCCCCAAACCCCGAACCCCAAGCCCCCGAAAGCCCAAACCCCCTAAAGCCCCAACACCAAAGTCGACTTTGGCCCCGTGCGCGAAGGACCGGAGATCGGAGCCGATACCCAGCTTCCCGACCTGCTCTTTAGGGGACTTAGTAACTATAATGGGTTCCTTTAGGGTTCCTTTAAAGGGATCTATAGGGATTCTATAAGGGTTTAGGGTTTAGAGTACTTGGAGGGTCGGGGGACTTAGTAACTGGTTATTTGAGGGACTTATAAGTACCATAACCCCAATTAGTGTCCCTTTCTAGGCTACTTATACGTCTACTTACTACCTATATACTTAGTAAGTCCCCCGACCCTCCAAGTACGGTTTGGGCTTCGGGGTTTTCGTTTTAGGGGTTTAGGCTTAGTGTACTCGAAGGATCGTCGAACTTAGTAACTACGGTTATAAATGATTTTTCAGGTAACTAAGTTGAAAACACTTAGGACGCCAGTCAACATACTCATAGCCTTACTTACTAGGTCCCTTGATCCTCCAGGTCGGGGTCTTGTTGGGCGGAGGTTTAGAATCTAGGGTTAGGGGTTTAGGCTTTAAGGTTGAAGCTTTATATAGGATACAAGAGACTCACGGAGGGGGAAGGGGGGCGTCTCCAAAGGGTTTGGGGCTTGCGGTTTACGTCAGGTTTTCCTTAAAATGGGTCTTCAGGTGAATAACTGACTCTGAAGGATTTGCACTGTTTTCGACGTTTAGAATTTCAAGTTTCTTCGTGTGTATGCGCGCTGGCGCAGCTTCAAGACAATCTCCTGAATGGCCATCTTCACAGCACGCCTGTTCTTGGACTTCAGCTGCTTCACGTTGTACGGGTGGTCCACTTACAGGAAACCTTAACCCAAAGACTCCAATATCCCTTAATTAAGAAATATTCCTTCAATCATATTAGGGATCCAATTATAATTTGAGGAATATTCCGTAATTAAGGGATATTGGATTCTCCGGGAATGCAGAAGAGCCTCCGTTCGGCGCTCCACGAACAGAGCTTTGTGCGACAGCCTTGGCCGCGGCCCAGATCATCCAATACATACCTGTTGAAAATGGCACTGTCGATGAGAAATCCGGGACGCCGGGATCCTTCGCACAGGGTGATTTTGGTGGTCCAACTGGAGAGTGGGTTGATGGCTTAGTGCCTGTCCAATTTAGAAGTTAATGTGTAGAGTTTACTGGTAATGGTGAGAAGAGCACGAGGATCTGAATAGTTACAGGGAGGAGGGTTAGGGCTTGCAATTTTCCGGGGTTCCGCGATGCATGGCGGATTTATATGGTCTTAGAAGGTGTAAGTGTAGGTGTGACTCCTGGGTCCGGAGAGTCAGCCACAAGGCCTAAAACCCCCAAGACTAGACCTAAGCCCCGTAATCCTCAAAATGCTCCCTAAATCTTGACTCCGAACCCCTAGGTCCTAAACCCCCTAAACCCCGAACCCTAGAGCCGTAAGGGATCCCTTTCTTCGAAGACCCCTTTGAGGCCTAAACTTTCCGCCCCCTAGCAAGAGACCTATCTGAACACACTCTAAGGGTTTGGGGTTTAGTTCAGGTTTAGGGTTTTAGGGTTTTGGGGTTTAGGGTTTTAGGGTTAAGGGTTTGGGGTTTAGGGTTTGAGGTTTAGGGCTTTAGGCCTTAGCAAAAACAACAAACATACATCCCGGACTGCTACAGCCCTAAGACTGCTTTAAACCACCAGAAAAAGCACCCTAAACCCTAAACCCTAAACCGTTGAACCCTAAACTCTGAGGCCCTACACAAGACGTAAGGCCCGAAACCTGAAGCCTCAAGAACTCTCAAAAAGCCCCAACTTGGAGGGTCGGGGGACTTAGTAACTGGCTATTTTTGGGATTTACAAGTACCATAACCCCAATTAGGGTCCCTTTTGGGGCACTTATAAGTCTACTTACTACCTACTTACCAAGCCCCCCGACCCTCCAAGTGAACCCTAACGCGACCGACAGCCTCCGGATCACTCGCAATGGCTATGAGCTGCACGACCGGACCGGCCTAACTGCGAAGGTTTACGGCTGCAGGGCTTTTAAGCTTAGCGACTTCAGGGTGTTGGAGTTTTCTAGCGATTTTGACGTGGACACTTGGAGGTTCAGTGGTAGTGAAAATTGAATTTGCAAGTGTAGATATAACCCATGCACATGCTCAGCGACAAAGCTTCATGGAATTTACATCAGGTGTGACAGCAGTACCTTCTCATGCAAAAGCACTTTACCATCTAAGCGAGGTCTGACATCCAGTTTGGACATACATTCAACACATCTTGATTTCCAATAAACCCTGTCTCGCGTGAGAACTTTATAGGCCCAGGGTTTCTTAATCAGGTTGCCACATTAGATGAAACCCCTAAACCCTAAAAAGATGAGCCTTAAACTTTAAGCCCTACTTACTCCTAAACTCTATACATAAGCCCGAAGCCCTCCATGGAAAGCTGGCCTTCTGCCTGGCGCTTAGCACGATTTAAGCCACGAGCTTCGCTGGTCTGGCAATGTCCCCGGAGCAATAAATTCCCTCTGTTTACGAAGCTTGACTTAGGGGCTGAGTGCCCTAGCCCAAAAAGGGTTAACCTTTTCAGTTATGGTAGGGTTATATAATCCCCAAAAGGTTAAAGGTTATCTACTCAGGTACTAAGTTAATATTGTGGGATTAACGTTTAGTTCAGGGTTTATGGTCTAGGGTTTAGAGTCGAAGCGGCTTGCCTAGGAAAGAACGCTGTTTAAGGATTTGACCTCAAATCCGTTGAAAGGTCGGGGGCTGTTGATCCCCACAAACTATTCTTCGTTAGGGTTCCTAAGATCAGGGTCCCTGTGGACTGCTACAGTAAAATATAGCATGAGAAATACGACCCCCAAACACGATTCAAGTTGTTCTCTTATTCTTCAATAACCGGGCACAAACAAGGTCTCAAACTTGCTAAGATAGACCAAAACAACTAAGGCAAACAAGTTTCAAGTTGTTCTATTGGCTACCTAAGCCTACTGTCGCTACTATAACCATAGAACTGACCGAGTGCATCGCCGGATCATGGGTCTTGGAGATCTCCATGAACCTGACGTACTTGGTTTCAGGGTTTAGGGGCTACTACTTGGAGGTTCATGGGTAGGTACAAGTTTGATTATGTGTGGGGTAATTATACGCATAACCCATGTTGAGGGACCTATAACCCCACACATAATTTAACTACCCATTAAACTCCCAGTAGGCGACATGGCTAAACACATTTGGTAGGCAGGTGAGCGGGAAAAAGCTAACCTTGTATGATCTATTCTTGTATGATCTATGTATAAAAGACGTCACAAAACTGGGTTGGCCTTAAAACACCCTGAAGAATATTTATATATAGGGTCCCTTATAAACCCAAATGATCGGAAAGTAATAAATGTCCCAAAATTCAACCTAGAAAATGGGTTAGGGTTCTTTTTGGGAACCCTAAATCCTAAACCCTAATCTTTTGGGAGGGCAGAGCCTTCTCTGCTGCTACAGTTCTTATGTCACGAGTCTGCGGTTTTGGGGGTGTTCAGGCTTTAGCTGCGAACTCTCGGCTGACAAAACAGTGCAGATCAATAAAGCCTCGAAGGTCTACCTTAAATAAAACTTGGAGTATCTTGATTAATTTGGTTTGCAAATAAATCTGCATGCAGTTGGCTTCTTTACCGGTGGCCTCATTACCCACCTTGCAGATGAACCTGCAACCCAACTTTGCCAATGGATCTTGTAATCTTGTAAGGTGCTACTCGCCTGATCTGAGGAGTTGCACAAAATACATGCATGCTGGTGCCGCCCGAAGCCCAACCAGGCAATAAGGTCTAAATAATAACACCAGCGGATCAAAAAAACTTAACAAGACTCACTCTGCTTGCAGCAGGACACGCATGTAAGAGCCCCACAAATTCGCTGGTCTACATCAACCAAGGGTTTACCTATTTCCACGGTCCTGAAAGGACTGCAGCCGAAAGCTTCCAACCTTAAAGTTGTCATTAGGTTTTCCGGGGTCTAGCATATGACCCTAAACCGATAGGCACATACTCGTATCTTAGGGCAGCTGTCTGAAAGCCTTTTAAGCAAAAGCCTGAGCCTGAGACCACAACTCCCCACTTCGAGGGTCGGGGGACTTAGTAAGTAGGTGGTAAGTAGACTTATAAGTACCCTAAAAGCGACCCTAATTGGGGTTATAGTACTTATAAGTCCCGAAAATAACCAGTTACTGAGTCCCCCGACCCTCCAAGCATAGAAAGTAAATTAAATGGCGAACAGAACAAGTAGAATCGTTGTTGATTCAAGATTTATCGGCATGTTCCACTATCGTTATGCAATGGCTTTGCATGAAAACATTTGGGAGTTTCCGAATATAAGGGGTACCATATTTTGGGGTCCTTATAATAAGGGTCCTAGTATTTAGGGTACTCTATTAGGGTCCCCTATTTTCGGAAACTCCCATTTAAGCGCGGGTGGCGACTTGGAGGTTCATGGCTGGCTCTAAGTGGGGTGACAAGTCTCTGTCCTAATATGGGCTATAATTAAAGTTGTACCCTAATTATAACTCCACTTCTAACAACCCTATAACTCCAATTATGACTACCCATGAACCTCCAAGCAGTTGTTGGGTTCCCACATTGTTGGAATCTCCATCGGTCGCAACATTTTGTTAGGGTGTCCAGGGTTTGGGGTTTAGGATTTAAGGTTCAGGGTTTAAGCGGAAACTAAACCTAGGATTTCATAAAAGTTGCTTTGAGCGCCCTAAACGGCGCCGCTTCAAACCACCCCGTGTGACCCCAAGAAAGGCAGATACCATGTGAAGTCGGGGACTCAGTTCGGGAATGCCGGGCGAACCTCTGTTCGTCCAGGACGTCGAAGGAGGCAATCCGCTGCGTGTACAGCACGGCCACCACCTGGAGGTTGGGTTTTGGGTGTCTGCTTTGCCAGTTTTTTCCCCTCCGATTTAATTATGTAACACCTCCTTTATTTGTGTGTAGGATCCTGCAATACGTGAACACGGTAAGCAAGAAACGGACAACAACGGAGAGTAGCGGTAGGCTCAGTCACTTTCCAAGTTTGAAGGAGGTCGACGACACACAAACCCTTAATCCTGAACCCACATCTACATATCGGCCTGGGATTGGATCCGTAAACGATGCTTTGCTCGGTGCGGCGGAAGCCAGAACGGCGACCGTTCTAGGAATACTCGTAACTGGCCACAACAACAGCAAAAGAACAGATCTTGCAGGGACTCGAACAACCAAGCACCATCGTCCTCTAATCGTCGTTGTCATGGACATTAACATCATCAGCGCTTCTTATTCACCATGGTCAAAGCATCAGAAGCATCTGCAAGAGCCCGTATTGCTTGGGGTTGAGGGTTCAGGATCTAGACACCATCGCCATGTCCACTCTGCAACCCAGAGGCTCCAAAACCCCTTAATTGAGGAATAGACCGTGAATAATGGGAAGCCTCATATGATTCGAGGAGTATTCCTTAAGTTACAGGCTTTCTTAAAGGTATCTACAAGGATTCTATAAAGGATTTCTATTAGCATCCCACATATGATTCAAGGGAATTTTATTCCTTAATTGAGGGGTTTTGGAGTCTCTGGGAAGTACCTATTCTCGGACAGGTGCCTGCCGGCAATTGCTTGCAACAGCCGAGATCCTATGCGAAGGCTAGGTTCCAAAACAGGTAATTCTGGAACCTAATATAGGGGCCTCAATAACTAGAATAGGGTTTTGGGGCATATTATACCATACGTAGTACAAACAGGAACCCACAATAGTAGAGGCAATGATTAAGCGCCTTATAGTACCAAACCCGACAGGCTCAGATTGGAAGCAAAGAGTGTAATAGGGCAGCTTTTGTTTGAATAGTATATATATATATATATAGGCTACGTTTGCCAGGGCCATGCGCCTTCTCAAAGGGCTGCTCGGGTTGGGTGAAATCCTGAACCCTAAACCCCAAGACTCTCTACCCTAAACCCCAAAGCGCTAAACCCTACACTGCACCCTAACCCACTATGAGCTACAGCCCAAAACCCGTACGATGCGCCTTGCCGTCCATTTCGCAAACCTGACAGCTTGAAGCATCAGGGTAGTGGGAGGTTGCGCGGGTTTAAGGTCTAGGCTTTTTCGCTTCAGGTACAAGAAGTACAAAGAAGATGTCTAAGTAGAATGCTGTACGAATTACTCCGCATCATCAGTCGATCTGGCATCAATACTTGGAGGGTCGGGGGACTTAGTAACTGGTTATTTTAAGGACTTACAAGGACCATAACCCCAATTAGGATCCCTTTTAGGGTACTTATAAGTCTACTTACCACCTACTTACTAAGTCCCCCGACCCTCCAAGTAATGAAACCCGATTAAGTTTACGGAACGGGTCAACATGAAGAAACAGAGTCCCTCAAAAGATCCTTTGTACAAAGCTGCTACAGTATTTTGGGTTCCTAAACAGGGACCCTAATTTAGAGAACTACCCATATGAAGCTTCCTCCACGGGCATGCCCCTGAGACTTAAAGGCCTGGGTCCTGGAGCCAACATGTAACCGCCGCAGTTGTGGACAAAGGGTTCAGGGTTTAGGGGCAGGGCTTAGGGTTGAGACCGGAAGAATGAAAGTGACCAAGAAAACCCGAGACCCGAAATCCCAAACCCAACACTGCTAAACCGCCAAGGGCTGCATCGATCCAGCGAAAGCCCCGAACCCGACACTCTTGAACCAACAACAACAGCTAGAGCCAGCAGCAGCCCTATAACAAATCCACCCAGCCCCAACCAAGCCCAGATTAAAACCACAACTCTAGAATCACAACATGCGTTAACATCGATGAAGACTCTCAGAAAATCGCGTACAACAAGAATTAAGATCCCTCATCGCCAGCCCTGAACCGCAAAGCCTAAGGCTCTCATAGGCTCCCCACGAGGTTCGTCGTCGGAGAAGTCGTGAGTCGGTTTTTCAGCACCTCCTCAGTGGCCTGAGCAAGTTTTGAGTTCTGTCGGCTTACTAAGGCAAAGGTTTAGGGTTTAGGGTTTGCCTATAAGTTGAAATGCACCCCTGTCTCCTCTCCACAAGATTGAAAGTTGCTGTTTCAAACAGGTGGATGTTGACTGAGGGGTGTTGGTGGGAAAAGCTTCGATGAGACTGTATGAGACCCTTGCTATGATTTATATAGTTGGTACATCGACGGCGGTGCAACGACCGCGACGACGATGATCACTACTACTACTACTACTACTGCTGCTACTACTACTACTACTACTACTACTACTATTACTACTATTACTACTACTACTACTACTACTACTACTACTACTACTACTACTACTACTACTACTACTACTACTACTACTACTACTACTACTACTACTACTACTATTACACTGATAGTTCCAGAGGCTTTCGGATTTCGATGTGCCAGGCCCGCACGCTAAATCCAAAGGTGTTCCTGAAACAAACATCGTCATAAACAAGCCAGCGAGTAACATCATCAAAACACAAACCTTAAATCCTGAACCGTAAAGCCTAAAGCCTAAACCCCAAACCCTGAACCCTAGAGCCTAAATCCCAAACCCTAACCCAAGAAACCTTGAACCCTAAAAACCCTAGAATCCCAAACTTACCTTTGGTTAGTAGGGAATGGAGGAATGGGGTACAATGACAACTACTATTACTACCAATCTTCCATTCCCTACTAACCAAAGGTACTTGGAGGGTCGGGGGACTTAGTAAGTAGACTTATAAGTACCCTAAAAGGCACCCTAACTAGGGTTATGGCACTTATAAGTCCCTAAAATAACCAGCTACTAACTCCCCCGACCCTCCAAGTAAGCAAAGGGAACCTAACACCAGATCTTTCTAAATTAAGGGATATTGGAGTCTCCTAAACGCTAAAACCTATAGATCCCTTAAGGGAGGCCTTAAACGAAAAGCCCAAAGGGAACCTAAGGATATCCCATATAAACCCCCTTAAAAGGTAAAAGGAAGCCCGGCAAGGGAGGGATATCCCTACAAAATGCTTATGCTTCTGTGCATTTTGGGTCCCGAACTAACCCTAAACCCTAAACCCTAAACCCTAAACCGATCTTCCGAGGCCCAGGGCGCGCAGGTTCTGCGCCCAAGCCATCTCCTCGAGCCGCACGAGACCTGGCAGAGCGGCTGTTTGCATGCCTTAAGGGCTCTGTTTTTTTTTGGTTTAAGGGCTCTGGTTTAGGGTTTAGGATTTAGGGGTTTAGGGTTCTAGTTTTGTTTTGAACTTCCTTTTTCCAACCGCAGATCCGGTTTACAGGTATTGGGATTCAGGGCCATTTAGGGTTTAGGGTTTGGGTTGCTGCGAGGGTTAATTAAAGGGCTGCTATATGGGGTACTCTCGAGGTTCAGTGTTTAAGGATAGAAAATTACGGGCCTTTCTGGCTCGATAAGGCCTTATATGGTTTGAAAAGAGGCTATATGGAGTTCATGGGACTTCTGCAGGCGCTGGGATTTTAGGGTTTGGGACATCGAACTCACACCTCAGGGCCGTTTAGGGCTAACAAAGGGTAAGTTTACATACTTTTACATGTGCAGTATTTTGCTGGAACTAATGTTTAACTTTTGGGCCATTTAAAACCGGATGAAAGTCTGTCAGAAAAAAGTGCAAGGTCACCTACGGATTCAGGTCTTTCTTGGAGCTTTCGGGCTTAGGATTTTGGGATTTCGGCTTGAAGCTTGGGTGTTTCAACCTTCAAGGCTGTCGGGTGTGAAGAGTTTTACTGTTTCCTTTTGGGTATCATGGGGAAATCTGCTTCCTGCAGGTGCTACAGGATATAGAACGAAGCCTTTCTCAATTCTTTCAGTGCCTGGAACTGGACATCCCAACCACAGCACCAATAGCAAGCTAAGCATTGGCACATCGCTGGAAGCTTCAACCGTCAATCTATATGCACTAAGCCCTAAGCATAGATACACCTAACCCTAAACCCTACACGTATGTATGCTGAACCCTAAAGCTATATACACTGAGCCCTAAACCGGAAATATATACACTAAACCACAAACCCAAAACCTATGGGAGTTTCCGAAATTAAGGGTACCTTATTTGAGGATCCTTACATAATAAGGGTCCTACTATTTAGGGTACTACATGAGGGTCCCCTGTTTTCGGAAACTCCCTGATCCTAAACCCCAAAACCTAAATAGAACCCTATAGATCCCTTATGGTACCCTTTAAAGGAACCCTAGGGGTCCCCTATGTTCGGAAACTCCCATACAAGTCCTGCGCCCTGAACTCCATGTCTGACCCTGGATCTTTCATGAGCCCCACTCGCAGGCAGGGTCGGGGGACTTAGTAACTAGGTGCTCCTTTAACGGGGATTATAAGGGTTCCTTGAAAGGGCTCCATAAGGGTACTACAGGGTTTAGGGTTTAGGGATTAGTAAGTAGGTAGTAAGTAGACTTATAAGTACCCTGAAAGGGACCCTAATTAAGGTTCTGGTACTTATAAGTCCCTAAAATAACCAGTTACTAAGTCCCCCGACCCTCCAAGCAACCCCCAAGCTGTAAACGGACACGCAAATGTCCAAAGCCCTAAATCCGAGGGTTTAGGGTTTCGGGGTATAGGGACCTGATTAAGAAACCCTAGGTATTTATGGGGTTATGTTGTGACGAAGTCTACCCCAAACTAGAGAGCGAAACCCTGAACCCTACAACTGGAAAGCCCTAAAACCCCTAAAATCCTTCAGAGCCTGAAGCCCTGAACTAAACCCCAAAGCGAAACTCTAAAAACAATCCTTTACCCATAGGCTCCATAGTAGTTCCTTTTTGGGGATGACCTTATAGGATTCTAAATATCAACCTCAAAACGAAACTACTATGGAGCCTCTCGGTAAAACCCAAAGCTCCCAACTAAACCCAAAAACCCTCGACACCGAAAAAGAATCCCATGGCCGCAAAACGTGCTTGGAGGGTCGGGGGACTTAGTAACTGGTTACTTTAATCACTTTTCAGTACCATAACCCCAATTAGAGTCCCTTTTAGGGTACTTATAAGTCTACTTAGTACCTACTTACTAAGTCCACCGACCCTCCAAGTGCTGCAACCCTGAAAGAACCCGTACACAACCCTTCGCGGTAATCTCGCTATTCCCTCCTCCCCCAAACCCTAAATCCTGACCACTGAAACCCTAAACCCTACTGAGCGCCAAAACCCTAAACCCTGACCCCTTAAACCCTAAACTACCCTTAAAACCCTGAACCCATAACCACCACCAGCAAGAAAACGTGCCGGAGCGGCTGGGCAAATCGCTCAGCTCGGCGAAGCGGATTGAATAGTTCCGCCTTCGCCACGAGAGCTCTAAGGGTTTGGGGCTTAGGCATTATTTAGGTTCTCGAGCCTCGGGTTCCCAGAGACTCCAATATCCCTTAATTAAGGAATTTTCCTTAAATTATATGCCTACGATAATTTAAGGTATATTCTTGATTAAGGGATATTGGAGTCTCTGGGTTTAGGGATCAGTAAACCCTAAACCCCTAAACCCTAGAAACTTCAAGAAGCCAAGGGATCTCCCTTTGGTAGACGTCCCCACGCCATGAAAGCCCTAAAAAATGAAAACCCTAACTGGGTTCTGGTTAAGGAAGGTAAGCTACTACAGAAAGGAAACCATATTTGTCTTTTGATCCCTATTATTGTAATTTAAACTAGATTTAACTTTAACAAGAACCCAGCTAAACCCCCAAACCCTGAACCCTTCAAGTTTAGAGAGACGCCGCTAAGCCTGAAGGCCCTAAGTTTTAAGGTTTTGGGGTTAACTCCGCGAAGTCTTCAACCCCTAGGCACTAAACCCCGCGCGTTTCACACCCGGAACGCTGAAGCACTTAGCACGTTGTTGGGTTGTTCAGGGCTTTATTATCGAGGCCCCCTTTATCCAACATTGTAAAGCTTTCTTGATTTATGAGAGCTTCACTTTACAGTGTTGGATAAGGGGGCCTCGATTATTATTTGGGGTTTTGGGGGCTCTCGGGTTTAGGAAGTTATGTTCTTGTTTGAGGGCCCTTTCCCACCTATCGCTGACTGAACCCTCACTTCTCGCTGTACTGATTCCGGCCTTCTCCCATCCATGTCATACTCAGAGAGCCCAATACTTCTTAATTAAAGAATATACCTTAAACCATAATACCAAGGCCCCTGTAACTCAAGGTATATTCCTTAATTCGGGGGTATTTGCACTCTCTGGGTATGGCAACTCGTCTCATATGTGGCGATAGTGGATGCCTTGTCCTGGAGAACACGAGACTTCCTTCGCCTCGCAGCACTTTGATTAGGGTTTAGGATTTAGGGTTTAGGGTTTAGGGCCAGTTTAGGGTTTAGGGTTTAGGGGAATTCTCAGATTGGATCCAGCTGCTCTCGAACCGCTCGAACGTCTTCCTGCCTCAGCAGCTCGCGCTACATCCCAGGCATGATGCAAATCTTGAGGGCCTAGGGCCCTTTAGGGCTTTCAATAGGGTGTTGCTGGCCATTATACTATAATCATAATACTGTAAGGAAGCCCCAAAATAGTACAGGTAATTATTAAGGCCCCTTATCTTATTCGGGCCTTGAGGTTTTAGGGTTTTAGGGCTTAGCAGTCGGCCTCACCAGATGCTGATTGATCACGCGGCAGTACTTGCCATCCTCCGGGTAGGTCTGCACATTCCTTGCCCGCGCCGCTGTAGGACACCGAGTTCAACAGAGTTAGGTTGTACCTTCTTTTGGTTAGGATTCCGCATAAGAAGAGTCCCAATCTAAATGCATGGCCCGTGTTAGGGCCCCTTGTTTTCTGAAACTCAAACTAAAATGTTGGACAGGCTTGTGGCCTTCCGGCTTCGGGGCAGACCCTTGGGGCTTTACATGCCGATGGGCCTCAGGATTGAAGGTTTTGAATATTTAACCCTAGACCCTAAACCCTAAACCCCTAAACTCCTAAACCCTAAACCCTAAACCCTAAACCCCTAAACTCCTAAACCCTAAACCCTAAACCCTAAACCCTAAAACCCCAAAACCCAAAACCATTTATAGGGGCCTGGAGAGTTGAAGTGCTCCATGCTTTGGAGGCTTCCAAGTTTTATGATTTGACTCCAAGGGTAAAAGGAGGGACCCCTAATAAGGACCTCTGGGTATATACCCTGAATATAGCTATTATATACTCATGATATGGCTCATTATAGGGTAGGGGTCCCCATTAAGGGTCCCTCCTTTTCCCCTTTGATTGACAGCTTCGACTTGCATCTCTGTAGCTTCCAAGGCCCTGGAGTGCGGATTCAATCTTGCTTAGGTTCATGGGCAGTTATAAGTGGGGTTACAAGTAGGGCCACTACAAATGCAGATATAACTGTAATTATATATATATACACCTATATGTATATAACCTGTATTAGCCTATATTAGAGGACTTGTAACCCTACTTATAACTACCCATGAACCTCCATGTGAGATCTAGGTCAGGAGACTGCAGCGATCACTGTCCCGGGAGACAGATGCCACGACCGGGTGTATGACGTCATGTCCCATGCGGTGCACTCACACCGGTTATATACGATGCTGGTAGCTACATACTACCTATAGTCTCCATTGTAGTTCCTTCTTGGTTCAGCCAAATAATGAAGGATCCTAAAAGGTAACCACCAAAACGAACTACAATGGAGACTATACTTGGAGGTAGTAACTGGTTATTTTAGGGACTTGTAAGCACGATAACCCCAACTAGGGTCCCTGTTAGGGTACTTATAAGTCTACTTACTACCTAAGTCCCCCGACCCTCCAAGTATAGGTACTGCCACGGGATGGCAAAAAGCTCCTGCAGTGCACTCTTCTACAACCTTGAGCGAGGGCCTGCCAAAGCTCTGAACGGCTACTGTAGTGACCTAAATAATTACCAATACTGTTTGGGGGGGTTCCTTATTATAGTTATAGTATAACTGACCCCAAAACCCTATTCTAATTACAAAGGCCCCTATATTTCGTGCTGTAGCATCGGGGCTTCCTTTCGAAAGTGCGTACAAAGGACCATGAAATCTTCTGGGCTTGGTCTTTAGGTGTAGGATCCGTTGCAAAGCCGTAATGTGGCAGTTTCCGAAACTAGGGGATCCTAACATAGCACCCTAAATAGTAGGATCCTTATTATAAGGACCCCAAAATATGGTACCCCTAATTTCCGGAAACTCCCATGTAGCCTTAGGTGCGTGACTTTGTCAAAATCGGAGACGCAGCTCGATCGGACAAGTGGAAGAACCGAGCTGAATCCTCCACGCTCGAAGGTAACTGCCACTTGGAGGGTCGGGGGACTTAGTAACTGGTTATTTTAGGGACTTAAAAAGGACCACAACCCCAATTAGGGTCCCTTTTAGGGTACTTATCAGTCTACTTACTGCCTACTTACTAAGTCCCCCGACCCTCCAAGCAGTCTCACAAATCGACCATTCTCTGAAGCCCCAAACCCGAAAACCCTGAAGTCTGAGCCCGCTTACAACCCTCAGAACAAATCATGACAAAGTGGCCGGATGTTGGCTGGCAGTAAGCCAGCCATTGCTGCACCTCACTGCCCGAGAGCCACGATGTGCTCATGTAGGCTTTGGTGTCACGCGTAAAGCTTGATATAGGGGCCTAGATAATTGCCTATACTATTTTGGTGGTTCCTTATTAGTATTAGGCCCGTTCTAATTAATACCCAAGGCCCCTATACTTGGGCGTGGAGTCAAGGCTTAAGATGTTCGGCTCAGGATCTAGATTGTAGTGTCTAGGGCTTACATGTAGTGCTTCGAGCGATTAAAGCGAGGCCATAGGGTGAGCCCAGATGGGCAATGTATCGCACAAGACCTTCAAACATGAGCCTTAAATCAGCACACCAGTGCGGGTTTTAGGGTTTCGGAGCTGCCAGGGGGCAACACCCTAATTAATCAGCAATGCTTCCTCTGCATCATTTCGACCCAAGCCGCATTGGAGCCGTTCTATATGGCTCCTCAGCATCGCCGAAATACGCTCCAAGACTCGGGCGAAAGCGGCGTCACGCCCAAAAACCTGATGGACCCTACACCCCCGAGATTAGAACAACATCCTAAATTTCAGCCTAGTGCAAGCTCTTGGGCACCGGCCCATGGCGAAGGCACCGGGGGACGTCATGTACTGCCGAGACATACCTGTGTATGCGCATGCGAGTGTCCGGGTTCAGGGAGAGTTCTTAAGATAAGGGCTCTCTTACCCTAAGGGTCCATGCACCCATATAGAGATACATGGGCCCCAAAGTACCTATACAGGGACTACATTAAGGCCAATGTATATACTATATGAGTACATGGACCTTAGGGTTACATCATTCCCAAGCATTCCTGCGACCTTGGAGTGCTTTGGTTTTCAGCTCGGAGGTCCAGAGCATGGAAGGCCCAGAAACCCTGCATTTCAACACTATCGCAGGGGAGCTGCACCAGGAGGGGTGTTCGGAACGAACTAGTGTCGGAGCCCAAACGAAGAGGGCGATTTAGGCTTGGGGCTTTATATCAATGCCTTTCGCCAAAAACAGCAACAGCGACTGGCACGAGCCCCGGAAACCACCCAACTCAACAGCACGAAAGGTCGCTTGGGCAAACGTAGCCGACCTACATGCTTGAAGACCCTTCAGCAGAGATTCTTGGGTTAGAGTGTCCGAAAACCCTAGACTATCAACCCAACAGGACATAACATAGGGGTCCATGTACTTAAATAGTACATACTTTGGGCCCAATGTGACATTTGGGTACATGGACCCTAAACTCTAAACCCTAAGCCCGCATGGAACCCTTGCAGAGCTCTTCTTGTACCCTTAAAGGAACCCTTGAAGAAACCCCACGTGTACATGGACCCATACGGTTGATGATAGAAATCCTGCATTACCCATTATAAGGAATATAGCATAATTCCCATATTTTTGGGCCCTTGAGGTAATGCAGGATCTATATCATCAACAGTAGCCCAAGCGATGGCAGTCTCAAAGTTTAGGTCTATGAGTCTATCGCCTGAAGCCTAGGGAACCTCGGAGCAGCGCTGAACCTAAGGGCCTAAGGATTGAAGGTTTAGGGTATACCTGGACCCTAAGGAACCTACCTTTTTAGGGCCCCCTAATAAGATTTCTTGATATAAGTCCCTAAAAAAGAAGGTTCCGATACCCAGCTTTCCAACCTGGACGTGTACTTGGAGGGTCGGGGGACTTAGTAACTGGTTACTTTAGGGACATATAAGTACCATAACCCTAATTAGGGTCCCTTTTAGGGTACTTATAAGTCGACTTACTACCTACTTACTACGTCCCTCGACCCTCCAAGTAAGGTTTAGGGTTTCAGGTTTAGGCTTTAGGGTTTTAGGGTTGGGGTTTAGGGAGCAGGGTCCATGTACCCGAATAGTATAAGCTTTGGCCCCGAAGCACATATGTGAGGACTTCTTTTTGAGACCAAGGTCTTTACTATTCGGGCACATGGACCCTTAGGGTGAACCCTAGGCCATCGGCACTTTTTGGGCTCGAATGTGAACGTAGAATGTTGGATTTTCGCAAGGGTCACGAATTGTAGACCCGACACACCCTAAACCCTAAACCCTAAATCCAAAACCTAAAACCCCAAAACCTAAAAACTCTGAACCTCAGAGATTCCAGGCTTGCGGTTGTGTACTCTCTCTAGGCCCTCGGGCCTTGCACAATGTCAAAATGGAAAGAGACGCAGTCGTTGATGAAGCGCTGGGTGGTCGGAATGTCCAGCATCATCACCTAACGCATTGCTTCCCCTGGGCCCCTGAACCCTAGGCCCTCACCCTAAACCCAGCTTCGCTTGACCAGTTCCCTCTCCCACCCTAACATGGTAAGCAAAGCTACCACACTTATAACCCCGCGTATAAGTACCTGAAGCTTCCCATTAAGCTTTGCCATGATGCCTGGCTCCCATAAATGTTCCCTACGGCTTCCTCGGGGCTTGCTTTGGGTGTTCAGGGTTTAGCGGTTTAGGGGCTTGGGGATTCGAGAGATGGGTTTAGGATTTTAGGGTTAAGGCTTAGATGGGAGATGGGTTCAGGGTTTAGGGTTTCCGTCCTCTCTTTCGTGTCGCGGTATTGCCACTCCTCGCCAGGTACACTCTCGGAACGAACGAGACATGAGATGTCCGGCTTAGCGCCTCGGGGTGTTGGGCTTGCGACAAACTTACCCTGCGTCTTGGCTTCGAGCAGTTATCTACGACATACATATATATATATATAATGACACGTTTAAAAACGTAGGAGCGACCCGCACCTCCAACATGCAGAGGCCGAAAGAGCCAGACAGCGCATCTCCCCATCGCCTCGATGACAGCACGCTGGAGAAGTTCGACACAAAAACGATATCTTTCAGATGATGGTGATGTCAGGTCTCTGAACATTCTGCTTGCATGTTAACGCGGCAATTCTGGACTTCACGCACTACAGTTGATAATATACATCCTGCATTACCCATAATGGGGAATATACCATAATTCCCATGGTTTAGGGTCCTTAAAGGTAATGCAAGATTTACATCATCAACAGTAGTATCTTCTTCCGGCAGCTGCTAGAAGGGGCTCGGGGCTCGGTCGAGTCAAGGTTCATGTCCCTGGAGCAAAAAAAGCGCACCAGCACCACCAGCACCGGCACCCCTGCTACTACTGCTGCTACGACTGCTACCACTGCTACTACGACTACTACTACGACGACGGCAACTGATACTTCGACTACTGTGACAACGACTAATACGACGACGACGTCGACGACCACAACTACCACTACTGTTCGTTGAAGATACCGTTGAAAAGCACGGTATCGACGGTGAAGACATAATAGTGGCGGAAGTGGCTGGTAAAGGCGATGTGTACCGTGATCGCGGTGACTGCGGTCAGTCGTGCAGACAATGATGACTATGCAGCACTGATGCTAATGCTGCTGATGACGATAATAATGATGCTGCGCATGATGTTGATGATGATGATGGTATGATGATGACGATGACGATGACGATAACGATGATGAGGATGAGGATTCTGATAATCATGGAGATGATGACGATGACGATGATCTGTCTGTGCTGATGGTCTGTGTACGAACACTGCCGTCCGCTGCCGTGCGGGCCCTGTTCTGGTTCCGATTGTGTTGGCTATCACGACCACTTGTCCTCGTCCTTGTCGCCATCGTCGTAGCTGTAGCAGTAGCAGTAGCAGTAGCAGTGGCAGTGGCAGTGGCAGTGGCAGCAGCAGCAGCAGTAAGAGTAGGAGTAGGAGTAGGAGTAGGAGTAGGAGTAGGAGTAGGAGTAGGAGTAGTAGTAGTAGTAGTAGTAGTAGTAGTAGTAGTAGTAGTAGTAGTAGTAGTAGTAGTAGTAGTAGTAGTAGTAACAATAGTAGTAGTGGTAGTAGTAGTAGTAGTAGTAGTAGTAGTAGTAGTAGTAGTAGCAGTGGGAGCAGTAGTAGTCCTCGTCGTCGTCGTAATGGTAGTAGTACTAGCAGTAGTAGTAGTAGTAGTAGTAGTAGTAGTAGTAGTAGTAGTAGTAGTAGTAGTAGTAGTAGTAGTAGTAGCAGTAGCAGTAGCAGTAGTAATCGTCGTCGTAGTACTCGTCGTAAGTCGCAGCGGTAGTTGTAGTAATGGCAGTAGTTGTTGTTGCTATCGTCGTCGTAACGGTATGGCGATGGTCATAGCAACCATAGCAATAATGACAGTAATTCGCAGACGCGGATCATGATGATGAAGAAGACGATGCTGATGATGATGATGGTGGTGATGATGACGATGGTGATGATGATGATGATGATGATGATGATGGTGGTTGTGATGGTGGTGATAAACACGATCATGACGATGATGATGCTAATGATGACCATCATCATCCTGATGTGATGTGGTCCGAAGCACAGCCAGGACTCCGTGCTTGAAATGCTCCACTAGGGAGGCAAAAACCTCCTCCGGCGGGATTCGGTTCCCCGCCCTGGCTGCAGAGCTTGAGATTTGGATTTCGGGAAACAGGGTTTGGGGTGCTGAGAGGAGAAGTGTAAGATTCAAGCATCTGGTACGTGCTGTTTGGGTGAGGGATCGCGGTCTTAGGTCAACATGTATATTCGTGGTGAATGTGTGTGTAGAGCCGGCATAAGATCTAGTTCGCCGGCTCTTCACAAGAACTATGAAAAGAGTCATGAGGCCGCCATGCGCTTCCGAGGCGTGACGCAAAGCATTGGGTTTGCATGTGCCATACATGCTGGTGGCTTCGGAGTGACCGGTTTTAAACATCAAGCTCCACAAGTTCCGAAAAGTCTTTCATGCAGGCTGAATGCGAACATAATCGAGAGATGAAGCCTTTGTCATCTGGCTGTGTAAGGCGATTCTGTAAGCCCTAAGAGTAATATAGGGGCCTTAAGAGTTAGAATAAGATTTGGGGGCCCAGAAAAACTATAAGTATACTAAGGAACCCCGGCAAAATTGTAGATAACTATTTAGGTGGTTGTCAAAATTATGGCCCTTTTCGGGTACCCTAAATAATAGGTGCCGTATTATAATAGGGACCCAGAAAGGGGCCCTAATTTTGACAATCACCCATTTAGGTCCCTATAGCAGCCTAAGAGCAGAACCTCTAAGGAATACTTCTTGAACTGTCAAATCATGCAGAGCACAGGGTCTTCGAGTTCATGTAGTGAAGCTGATGGATTTCAAGTCTTAGGGTCTGTAAGAGTTTAGTATGGGTTATTTACGGGGCCTGCAGGCTTAGCAGGGGCTCTATGAGGATTCAGTTCCGGTAGGGCACTGGTCTAAGGTTCAGGATTTTGGGTGCTACGGTCTGGGGTTTCGGACATCGGCTTTCATGTTTTGGATCCCGGGTCTGGCTACAGTCTCCGTTGTAGCTCCTTTTTTGGTTTAACCCTATACATAATTAGGATCCCAAACGGTAAGCCCAAAAAGGAACCACAAATAAGACTATAGGTAGCAACTCCCTAAACCCTGAACCCAAAATCCTTAAACCCTAAAGCAACTCCCAGCTCCCCCAAGCCAGGCGAGGTGGCTTGTCAAGGTGCACGCTGTCTTGCATGGAGGACCTGCAACCGATGGCACGCCATGCAGGTTTGGTTTAGGGTTCAGGTTCAGGCATCATTCAGGTTTTGGCCTTCTCATGACTTCTGTTCATCGCCAAAACCGCATGGAACGGCCTTCATATGACCAGGAAGCATTTAAGCCAAGGAGAAAGGTGCAACTAGGTAACTAGGCTCTTCAAGAGTCAATGACGGAGGGTCTGTTTGCTTGCGAGGCATGGCTCCGGCCACAGAGGTGGGTCCCAAGTCTTAGCCGTGACCCCTAAAGTCCTGAACCCTACGAGGAAGCGGGGGGCTTGGCTTCGCAGCGTGCCCAAAAGCCCGCAGTTTCGCTTGCGGCGCACACATCTCAAAACCAACTCTCACCAATTCCACGGCTTTCGGGTTTCGAGGGAGTGTTCATCACTCACCCAATCATCAGGCTGGCTCGGTGATGGGCAAGAGCCATGCAGACAGTGATAGTTGAGTCGGCAGCTCGACAGGGACCTTGGTGACCCCAACAGATGAAAATAAAAACGCCAAGAGTACAAAAATAACTTATTATGTATATATCTACACGTACATACATACATACATACATACGTACATACATACCTACGCAACAAACGCTGAGCTGGTGGTAGCGCTGGTGACCACGGTTGTTATCATCATGGTGTCGTGGAAACACTACACCAACTGCAATGTTCACGAACTCTCTGATCAAGAAACATGCGTTGATATTGAGCAGAATCCTACTAGCTGAACCGTGTGCCGTGTCAAGAACACCATCAAGCTTTAGTTATTAACAGTTATTATATGGTCACAGCCTACTCAATGCAAATGGAAAGGAACCTTGCGCTTCGTGCATCGTCACGAAGATGACAGAGGCTGATCAAAGTTGTCATACAAGCTTCTGTGCAAGCATAACAACCCAGAGACTCCAAAACCTCTTAATTAAGGAATATACCTTAAACCATAATAGGGATCCTAATATGATTTAAGGTATATTCCTTAATTAAGGGGTTTTGGAGTCTCTGGGAAACTGGGTTGCCATGGTAGCTTCCGGATTACAGGCCTGAGTACGGGGGACCAAAGCAGCCACACCTCCAGTGCCCTACTGCCGGTAGCAAAGGAAAGGATACGTCCTTAACCCTAAGCCCAAAGCCCTAAACCCCCAAACCCTAAACCCCTAAACCCCGTAAACCCCTGAGCGCTAAACCCATAAACCCCTAAACGAACCCTGAACCACGAACCCCAAAACCCAAAGCCCCTAAACCATGAAGCCCCTTACCTTCAAAGCCCGAAACCTATGTAAGCACTCCATAATTCAACCATCGGGGCATCTCAAAGCCTTGCGAAAGTCGCGACAACGCTGTCGCCCGCAAGCCGCGTTGCAGCAGGCTGGGAGCAGGTTACTTGGAGGTTCATGGGTAGCTATAAGATGCTATAAGTGTTCGTTTAAGGGTCCCTTTAAAGGGATCTGTATGGGCCCTATAATGGTATAGGGTTTAGGGGACCCTATAATGGTATAGGGTTTAGGGGTTACTTGGAGGTTCATGGGTCGTTATAAGTAGGGTTCCTTTCGGGATTCTATCGGGTTCAGGGTTCATGGGCAGTTATAGGTGGCATTAGACGCCCCCTAGCATGGGTTGTAACTATGGCTACCCTACGTATAAACCCGCCTATAACTACCCACGAACCTCCACGTAGGGTA